GAGTATCATGGAGGTGAAGGACCGGTGAAACATCGGGAACGAACTTACCCGCTATCTTGCGGATACGCTTCCAGATCTGGGCCAGAGGGGTTTCGGACGTAATTGTCGAGACATAAGATGCCCAACATTCACGTTTAGCCGTACGGATGGCCCTACGGGCCACCGCACTCGCTTTCCGAAAGAAAAGAAAAGAATCGGTCGTCTGCCTACGGCGGTGCTTCTTCCAGGCTGCACGCTTACAGCGGACAGCCCGAGCACAGTCCGCATTCCACCAGGGAACGCACTTCCGTGGACCCCGAGAGGAAGAGCGAGGAATAGAGCGGAGGGCAGCGTCGAAGACAGTGTCATGAAAAAGGAGGAGAGCGCGAGAGAGGGGCAGAAGGGAGAGGTCAGAGAGAGTAGCACTGAGGGAAAATAGGGTCCAGTCCGCCTTAGCAAACTGCCACCTAGGGAAAGAGAGGGAAGGGCGAAAAGAGAAAAAGGAAACAAGGATGGGGAAATGATCACTTCCATGGAGGTCATCAAGAACCTGCCATGTGAAATCTAAGTAAAGAGAGGAAGAGCAGAGAGAAAGATCAAGACAAGAAAGGGTGCGAGTTCGAGAGTCCAAATGAGTGGGCTCACCAGAATTCAGAAGAGACAGGGAAGAAGAGAGGAGAAACGGCTCAAGGAGGCGACCCCGGGTATTCGTCAGAACGTCACCCCAAAGAGAATGACGACAATTGAAGTCACCCAGCAGGAGCACAGGCTCCAGCAAGGAGTCCAGGAGGTGTTTCAAATCAGGAAGAGAGAGCGGGACACTCGGGGGGAGATAAATGGAACAAACTGTGTACCATTTCCCCACAAAGATACGAGCAGCAGAACAATGGAGAGGCGAAGGAAAAAGTAAAGGAACAAAGGGAACATCAGCCCGAATCAAGAGAGCAGAAGAATTAGAAGCCCCAGCAATGGCTGGGGGGGGGGGGGAGAGAAAGGAATAGCCACGAAAACGACCAGGACGAGCACCAAGCATTGGCTCCTGGAGACAGACACAAAGGGGCGAAAACCGCGAAATCAGAAGTTGGAGTTCAAGGAAATTGGCGTAATAACCTCGAACGTTCCATTGAAGAATGGACAACGACGAGAAGAGAAAGGACAAAAACAGAGAACAAGGAAGAAACAAAGGCGAAAGAGCAACAGAGCACGTTAAAGAATATCAGGGTCAGCAAAGTCAGGGTTAGGGGGCATGGGTAAACTGAGCAAAGACGGAGGGAAGGAAACGAGAGAACAGATCAGAGGTGGGCGGGCAGGGTCCGGAGGAAGAGGAGGAGGAAGAGGAGGAGACAACGGAGAGGAGCCGTCAAGGACAGCAGCAGGAGGAGGGGGAGTAGAAAGAGGGGAGCGCACCCCAGCAAGAGTAGCAACCGAAAGGGAAGCAGGGTCCAAAGAAACCTCCATAGCAGGAACAGGGGGCGCAAGCACTGAAACGGGAGGGGAAGGAGCAACAGAGCCAGGAGGAGGAGCTGAGGAAGAAAGCGAAGCCTTCTTACCCGCCGGGGAAGAGGAAGGAGAGGAGCCAGGCTTACGCTTCTGACTTAAAGAGACCGGTGTCCCAGCAACTACGTACCGGGCAACGGATTCAAGTGTCTCAACCGGAGAAGCCGAACGAGAGCACACACGACGGCCGGTAGGAGAGCGATGGACATCCGCCCGCACCGACAGGCGGTGGGGAGAGCTGATAGATGGAGGAAGAGGATGGGAAGGAGGACCGAAGGGGGACGAGGAAGAAGACACAGAAGACACGACAGACCAAGTAGAAGGAAGGGGAACCCCAGACAGAGAACCAGGAGGAGGATCCTTCGGGAGAGAACCCGAAGGAACAGAGGAGGGGGCAGTGGGCGCATCAGGGTCCAAGGCCCGGAAACGGTTGAGAGTCTGAGGAAGGCGGGAAGGACGAGGAGAGGAAGAGCGCAACACGCGAGCATAAGAGATATTAGCATAAGGCGGGAGCCGGCGAACCTGGCGCCTCGCCTCAGGAAAAGATAAACGCTCCCGGTGCTTCAGGTTGAGGACGGCTGCCTCAAGCTTGTAATGGACACACGCACGGGAGAAGGTAGGATGGGCCTCACCGCAGTTGAGGCAACGAGCCTGGGGAGAAGTGCACTCCGACTTAGAGTGACCTTCGCCACCACACAAAGGACAGAGAGAGACAGTCCCGGAGCAGCGGAGGGCACCATGCCCAAACCTCCAGCACTTGTTGCAGAGCCGAGGAGAAGGAATGTACTCCTGGACAGAGCACCTGGCACCAGCAAGAATGACAGAGGGTGGAAGGGTCCTACCATCAAAGGTAATCTTCACAACCCGGAGGGGTTGACGGCGACTACCACGAGGGGGACGAGTAAACGTGTCCACCTGGAGAATAGAATGGCCCTGGGCAGCGAGGATATGTCGAATATCGTCGTGGCAGTCGCGCAGGTCCCGAACACCGGTTGCAACATGGGGCGGGAGCAAAATAGTGCCAACACTGGCATTCAACTGAGCGTTTTTCGAGACCCGAACGGGGGTCTCGCCAAGGCAGGACAAGGCAGCCAAGCGGGAAGCAGCATCCTGAGAAGGAGCAGCAACGACACGTGTACCGAGACGAGTGGGGTTGAAAGTAATGGAGGCATCCACGGAATCAATGAGATGTCGATGAAGGGAGAAATCGTCAGGAGGCGCAGAATCAAGAGGGAGGAGATCAAAATATTTGGCCCACGAAGCGGGACCAAACAAGGCTTGATAGGTAGCAGAACTGGAAGGAATCGAGCGAGGGCGGCCGTGACGAGGACGGCGGTGAGAACCCCCAGAGAGGGGTTAAAAGGCGCAGTAGTTACAACTAGAGAAGGAGCCGCGCCAGGGGACGAGGTAGTCACCACTGGGGGCTTGGGGCTCGACCCAACCACAGAGGAGGGAAGGGAGCCAGGGGAAGGAGTCAGAGAGGCCAAAGGAGGAGCAAGGTCGGGGCCCAATGCAGCGGAGGCTACAGAGCCCGGTCTTCCAATACGGACCGACTCGGGGGCTTGGTCGCCCACCCCACGAGCCTGAGAAGGGAAGCCAGAAGCAGCCGAAACAGGGGTTTTCATCGTGACGAAAAGAAAAATTCACTCACGAATGTGCCCCCACACCCACCATGGAGCCACAATTAGAGGCAGGACACCCGACAAGAAGCTATCGCCGATCTTGTCGGGGCCTCCTAGGGGTGCGTCGTGAGTATACACCCCACAAACGCCACCTTAAGAAACCGACAGTCCGTCGAGATCGGGTTCAGTGACGAAGTGGGAATTGACAATAAAAGGTTCCCCTCGCTCTCGACGTCGGGTACTGCAGTTCTACGGGTGCATGAGTATGCCTCCTCAAGCACCCGGGCGTCAAAATAGAAGAAGTCCATGGAAGAACCAGAACGAGCAAAAGGTCGGCAGGAAACGGCAAGCAGATAGGAGAAGAGGGGGGAGAAAAACGAAACAGAAGGAAAAGGAAAAGGTGCCCAGCAGAATTGGAGAGGACGGCAGCAGGAGCACAAGGCTAGAAAAGGACAGAGGACTGTCCGAAGGAGCATCACACCCCGGCAGCCGCCCACGAAGGCCCCACACGGCGACAACGAGCTGAGCGGGGAGGGGGATTTGCCTAATAAGCCAAGTTTTCCCGAATTATTATATTTTCTCTAATTTTTTTCTTATGAAATGATAAAGCTACCCATTTCATTATGTATGAGGGCAATTGTTTTTTATTGGAGATAAAATTAACGTAGATATATGACCGAACCTAACCAACCCTACCTAACCTAATCTAACCTATCTTTATAGGTTAGGTTAGGTAGCCGAAAAAGTTAGGTTAGGTTAGGTAGTTGAAAAACAATTAATTCATGAAAACTTGGCTTATTAGGCAAATCGGGCCATGCATAGTAGGCTGAGAAGTGCGTTCTGGCTACTAGGTACGACATATACACATATATATACACACACATATATACACACACATATATATACACACATATATATACACACACATATATACACACATATATATACACACACATATATACATACACACATATATAATATATATACATACATATATACATATATACATACATATATACATACATATATACATACATATATACATACATATATACATACATATATACATACATATATACATACATATATACATACATACATACATACATACATACATATATACATACATATATACATACATACATACATACATACATACATATATACATACATATATACATACATATATACATACATATACATACATATACATACATATACATACATATACATACATATACATACATATATACATACATATATACATACATACATACATACATATATACATACATATATACATACATATACACATACATATACATACATACACATATATATATATATAGTTAGTTGCACCTGGAAAAGGTGTAACAGCAACCTACAAAATGGATTCCGGAACTAAAAAAAAACAAATTACGATGAGAGACTAGAGACGTTAAACATGCCAAAACTAGAAGATAAAAGAAAAAGAGGTGATATGATCACCACCTACAAAATGCTAATAGGAATCAACCAAATTGACAAAGAAGAATTTCTGAAATCAGTAACTTCAGAAACAAGAGGACACAAATCCAAAAAGGAAACAAAGGTGCCAATAAATATTAGAAAGTTTCTTTTGCAGAGTGGTAGCCGTTTGGAACAAGCAAAGTGAGAAGGTGGTGGAGGTCAAAACCGCCAGTAGTTTCAAAGCGTTATATGACAGTGCTGGGAAGACGGGACACCACGAGCATAGCTTTCATCCTGTAACTACACTTATGTAATTACACAAAACTATGAACTGATCTGTCCTGTATTAATTGTAGAAAGCCACAATATTTTTAGTATGTAAAATATATATGAAAAGAATTTTAAAAGCCAAGTATCTAACGTAAATAACAGAACTGCCAGTTTTGAACTTACTGTTGCAAGGTCTTGTCTCTGTAATTAAGTCACTGAAAAAAAACAGCCCTGATTTCTGAAATTAAAAACAAACAGGAATTATAAAAAAAAATTAAATGTTTACTCTACAAATGAACATTTAAACAGCATATACTGTGGCACAAGAATCAATTCTCAATATCCTTTCCACAAAGCATTAAAAGAGAATATATAAAAAAAACTCTCTCTACCACACCTTGCCAAACGCTAACTGAGCAACCACACCAACAGGCCAAACAACTTCAACAAGCCAATCAACTTCTCTAACCTATTCCCTCGAATAATACATCAAATTTTTACGTAAAAATCCCTACATCAAAATATGATACTATAAATCATACTAGGTTGCTAAACAAACAGGCTGTGACGTATTATATTTGTGGGTTCTCGGTTAGGTTAGGGTCGGTAATTTAGAACAATTTCTGTGGGAGGCCCCATCGGCTCCCTGAAGCCGATGGGGGGGGGGGGGGTCTTAATCTTACTGACTAAGTGCCATACTATTTGAGTTTCATCAGTCGCATTGTTCTTGTAAGCCAACCGGAGACCACGAGCCAGAACCTGGCCCCCTCAGGGAGGCACAAGAAGCAATGTCCCGTGAACACTTTACAAGTGACAAGCGTTTGTCACTTTAGATGACCTGGGAGACCTGAGCCCTGGAACAGGGAAGGAGGGAATTGGACGCAACACATGATGCACCTCCGGCCTGATCAACCACGCATGAACAACCCAAGGACCCCTCCGAAAAGCAGCAGTCTCATTCTTTGCCAGAAAAGGAGACAGCTGCAACCAAACAAACCTACCAGCAGGACCAAAAGAGCAGAAACCCCTGCGCCGGAGGAGAGCATGAAATTCCCCGACCCGACCCTGAGAAGTCATTGCCAACAGGAAAAGAGCCTTAGAAAAACAGTCCTGAACCAAACGGGCTACAACAACCCGAGTAGAGGAGAGAGAAAGAGAGCACCCGGTCCAAAGACCAGGATGGCTCAGGCGATGCATGAGCAGGCCTGAGTTGAAACAATGCACGAGACAGCTTGCGGAATGGAGCAGAAGTAACACCAATACCAAACCCAAGTAGCTCCGCCAGCGCCGCACAATATGAGGCAACAGTATTCGGCACAAGATGATGGTCCTGGAACAACCACGAAAGGAATGACAAAACAGCCCTATCAGAGACTGAAGTACACCTACACAGTGATGGGAAAAAAACTGAAGGACCAACAGGAAACTTCATACTGAGACGGAGCATGCAGGTGGGAGACCAACAACGAAGCCACCTGCCCCCATACAAGTTATGATAAACCAGAATCAGAAACTCCAAACAGTATGTTCGAGGAGTAGAACGAACCATCCTCGTACCGGGCTGGACCAATCTTTTGAAAGAGGTGGAGCCATGGGAAGACCCTCGGGTTCGGACACCAAGCAAGCAGCACCTGAAATCAAGGCTGGGCCAGCAACCAAGAAGCAATAAGGACAACTCTCCCCTTTTAAGTCTCCAAGCGAGCTAGGACCTGGGGTACCAGCAGAACTGGGAAGACAAGGTACAGGTAACCCCACCTCGCCTAGTCCTGCCTGAAGGCATCGACCACGACGGCCTCGCAGTCGGGGAAGGGCGTCACATATACCGGAAGATGCCTCACCACGCCGACGCAGAGAGGTCCACTTCCGGAGGCCAGAACGTCCGGCAGAGCCAAATGAATGAGTCGCCATCAACCATCCACTCCATGGAAAGGGGAATGAAGTGGGACAGGCCGTCTGTCAAGACATTAGACACCAATGTCCAATGCCAGGAGAGAGAAACCCTGAGAACTCAGCGGATGAGTCACTTGAAGGGAGCAACCCTAAAGAGCCAAGGACCTCATCGAACTTCTGTAGTTCAGGCAATGAACCAGCGATGAACAGTCCGAATGAAGCCGGATCGTCGATCCACGGGTGACCTGAATCTTATGGAGCGACATCCACATAGCCGCAAACTCCCGCACCGTGCTGCGACCCTGACGGAGGAACAGACCCCACCCGCCTGGCTTGGCGAGCACTGGTCACAAAGCCCCTGCCAAGAGATGACACATCCATGAACACATCAAGTGAGGGCTCGGGTAGGTGTCAAGGCACTGAACAACGTAAAACCCGAAGAGGAAGCAGGCGATGCAGCAACCAACGCAAAGACTCCTGAGGCCGAACCAAGCAGTCGCTGGAGAGGGGAAAGAAATGTCCCCCAAAGGAAAAAACAGCAAACGAAGCAATACCCGACCCGGCAGGTAGACCATCATGGCAAAGTTCAGGCTCCTGCACAAACCCTCGAGCAACTCCTGCATGACCCAGGAGCCCCTCAGGAACAGGCGTAGGTGGGAACACAGGCGAAGCAGAGCCATTGGAGGAAGAGACGAGGAAGAGACAAGGAAGCGGTCCGAACGTCCCACACAAGACAGCCAAGACTGAACCCGAGAGGGAACCAGATGGGTCTTTCGCCAGTTCACCAAGAACCCGAACTGGCGAGCTGGGAAAGAACCAAATCCCTGGCGAGCAGACGCACGGACTGACTGGGAGCCCAAACCAGCCGTTCATCAAGGTAGGCCAGAACCCAAACACCTAATAGACGTAGGCAGGCCACCACTACTCGAGTAAGGCGTGTGAAAATGCAAAGTGCGAGATTCAAGCTGAATGGAAGGCAATGAAAGCGATAACCTCGACGCCCCACAACAAAGCCGAGCCAGTCCCTGAACCTCTGATGAATTGGGACATACCAATATGCGTCCTTGAGGTCCAGGGACACCATCCAAGTGTCCGGCTTCAACAGAAGACGGACCTGGGACAGGGTAGTCATCCGAAAGGAGGGGGCCATAAACCCATTCAGAAGGGACAAGTCCAGAATGAACCTAAGGTCCGCACAGTCCCATTTCGGAACCGAAAACAGACGAGAAACCCACCTAAGGGACGAGATCGTTTCGACCACGTCTAAGCAAACCCACTCCAAGATGACCCGACAGCACAGTAGAAGAGGCCTGCCCTGCCAGCCCCAAATCCCCTGAAGGAGAGGCCACCCAACGCCACTGCAGGCCACACGAAATGACCCGAAAAGCCCACAAATCGTGGTACCAGGCTTGAGCAAACAGAGCAAGTCTCCCCCCAACCGTCTCGTTAATGGGACAAACTGAGTAAAGGCTGATGCACCATACGAGCAACTAAACGGCACACAGGGCGATCCCTGCGCCGAACAGCAACAGATGGCATCGAAGGCTGCGCTGGCACCGAATCTGACACCACTGGCCCACCACGACGGGAAGAACCCTGAGCCGTGGCACGATCCCACCGGGAAGGCTCTCCACTAGCCCCCCCCCCCCCTCGGAGGACTAGCAAATCCGATATAGGACAGAACCTAGCCAAAGCTGCCTGCAGATACTGCACAACCACAGACTCTGCAAAGAGCAATGGATAAAAAGGTGAAACAGTCTAAAAGCCAGAGCCCAAGCTGATTCCAAGGAAGAAGCGAGCACTACCTGCCAACACGCACAACAGAAGGGGGAAGACTACAAGGGGCGGACGGAACCAAAGTCGAAGCAACTCCCACCCTCAAGTCCAGGTCCCTAAAACAAAAATGGGGCAGTCTCTGGGCATCCTGGGAAGCAACCAACCTATCGTGTTGCAGTAACCTGAACCCTCATATCATGATTAGTAGATTGGGTGAACTGGAGCACGTACAAACAACAAACGTTGCACAACTCCGGGTCAAAAGAATCGCCGACCCTACAGGCAGCACGGCGGAGGCCCGACCGGTGACTGTCTCCTCGAGACAAGAGGACAGAGCAACCATCAACCTTGCACGAAGTGAGAGGGGAACTCTAGGTTTGCATCCATCGAACCAGGGAGCCCCCATCGGGTTTCCCAGGGCCCTTAGCTTTGGTAACACGCTAAGGAAAGCCCAGGCAGTGTACTGGTAACCGGAACCCAAGACTACCAAGCAAACTTCTAAAAGCTGAACCCCCAGGACGTGTCCACTCACGGGGGCATAGCATGGAATACCACCAAGAACACGTATGCAGAAACAGATACCCTAAATATAGATAGGGGGCAACCAACCAAAAGCAGACCCCCTATCCCCACCAGGCAGGAAAAAGCAAAGCAAAAGAAAAACCATGCAAGAGGACAACGTGCCCAGGCGGAACAGAACCGGCCATTATAAGAGGCAATAACTAGTTGTGCAGTACCCCATGCCCCTACCAATGACGACAGCTACCTCCTACCCAGAGGCAAACAAGGGCAACAAAAACCCCCAGCCGACTCCTAGGGCGGCCAAGTACCTTACATCCCATCGACATCTGCGGACAATGACATCCACTCAAACACAGCTACCGTTTCCCGATAAACGTCGTTTGAACTGATGTTGGAAAAACTCCTAAATAACTTCTTAGCACGCCTTACCAAAGTCACTTCCCAGGCTGATTTGCCACAAACCCCAACCAGCGGCACCAGGAATAAGAAATCCTCAGCCGTAAAACTTCCCACCGACCTTGCACTTTGACTGAAATATCATATAAACCACATTCTCCCACGACACACACACACCCAGATATTCAACAAGGTGTATTACTGACACGTCAAAGAAGAACGATGTAATCACATCCCAGACGTAAAACAAATATGACAATATAACCCTTCAACTAACCTACTCCAACCAAACTTAACCTACCCTACACCAACCAAACCTAACCTAACCTACTCCACCCCAACCTAAAATTATAAACATTAACCTCATGTTGCTTAATGTACTCTAACTCTCTACCGTAATCTACCCTAACTTATCTGAACTAACTCCCAAACATACATACTCACAATCTGTCTCTTTACTAATCCACACTTTTCATAAAACAGCAACATTTGGATACCACCATTAACACCACCCCTCATCTTTGCCATCCTAAGTCCATATCTACTTGTATGTTTATTTTCTTATTATTCTGACAAATAGAAGACATCAATAACTTCCAACATCTGCCAAATTCTGAACACTGATGCTCCACCGAAAGTGCCGCATCTATCAACATCACCACTCGTGCAGTCATTGGAGGAAAAACATTCATGCAAACTGCACGCATTACAAAGAAGATAATAGCAAGCCGACTTGTGGGATTTGGCCCCAAGGGCAGTGCTTACCGGGCACCTAGGGAAGGAAACCTTAGGCGCATGCAGCCCGAGTACAGTAGAATATTAGTCCTGGCTCATACACCACCTGTAGAGACAGACCCCGTCACAAGGCACAGAAACAAACTAAATCAGGAGCCAGAGGCACAAGACCATGCCGGTAACATTAGCCAAGAAATGAAGGATAGATCATTGGCATGAAGGTCTGGGGCTACCCCTTTCTCCCAGGGAGGGGGTGGGGGTTGTGCAGACAGCGGGACGGCAACGTGATGTTATGCTCATTTGGTAATTTTCGTTTGGGGGCTTTCGGTAGCAATAGTTTCACCAGAATAGGGGTTTGTTTTGGGGCGCCTACCTTTCTGGGTACCAGACCCGGTTGATGGCAGACATAGTAGGCTCCCAACCACACAGGGATTTCCATAGGCCATGGCTCCTCGTGTCCCTCTCAGGGGGCCAGGTTCTGGATCGTGGTCCCCGATAGGCAAAACTATGCACATTGACCGATGCCAGAAAGCTAATATATCCATATCAGCCTGGATAGCGACGGGGACCCGACAGGATGTTTACCATACATTTGGTAATGTATGGTAAGCAACTCATACATACCCACTCATTTCGTGAGTAAAGTTTATTTTTTTATTTTGTCATTGTTTTTCATTTCGTTAATTGTTTTTCTTTTATTTCAGTGATAAGAACATCAGATCATTTGATGTTCCCAATTTCCTGGTGGGAACATCAGATAATTTGGGAATGCATCGAACAAGGGAGGGGGTAATGGTGGGAAGGACGAGGGGACGGGGGAGTTGGGGATGGTAGGTACGAGGGGACACGGGAATGGAGAATAATGGGAAGGATAAGGGAACACGAGAGTGGGGAATGGTGCAGAGGATAAGGGAACAGGGGAGGGGGGGAGGGAATGGTAGGGAGGACTAGGGGATGTGGGAGTGGGAGATGGTGGAAAGGACAAAGGGACGGTGGAGTGGGGAATGGTTGGGAGGATGAGGGGATGGTGGAGTGGAGGATGGTGGGGAGCACATAGGGATGGATGAGGGAGGAACGGGGAAGTAAGGAATGAATGGGAGGAGGAAGGGACAGGGGAGTGAGGAATGGTTGGGAGGACGAGGGGATGGGGGGGGGAGGGGAATGGTGAGGAGGACTGGCAGACAGGTGAAAGGTTGCTGTGGCTCTGTGATGCACACGCGTTGCTGAGCCACAGCAACGCGTGGCCGGGTACAACTAGTTATATATAAGTATCTACATGTTTTATTCGCCATAACTGTACAACTAAGCTGGTATGGTATCCAAACAAAAAATTGCATTCCAAGAGACACAGGAGCCAGCAGATGATGCCACCTCCCTCACCAGAATGGCTCCTCCCAATATACTTTTTGCTGTTATTTGACTATATTCACAAGTAAGTATCTTGTGAATATATAAGTATCTAGATTTGTGTTCACCATCGCGAACCACTAAGCTGGTTGGGGAGTGCAAACAATAACAAGTTGCGACACAGTCAGCAGACGCTATCTCCCTCAGCATTACTCCTCCCACTATACTAATCACAGCGCTAATTATCAAAACAATCCTGCTATTATCAGAATCCTTTTTTTTATCAGATTCAGGAGTCTTCTGTAATACTATCATCGCTAAATAACACCAGTTACGTATATATTTTGACATTCTTAGACGATGCTGTGGTCACAAGCTGAACAGCAGGGCCCTTAGCTCATGCTCGTGTGCCAGCCTTGGTTGCACACTCAGTACCGAGGCTCTTATACCCAGGAATGTTGCACACGATTTAAAAAATAATGGCGTCTGTTTACAAGAGTCCTGAGGAAGCTAATGTGAACCTTGAGCAGCCAGAGGACTCTTAAATCTTGCACGGTACTCCAACACAGCTATAGCTGTGGTGCACAATTCTGCGCCAGTTACACACCCCAGCTATTTATGTGTTGCACAGTTTAAGGGTTAAAGTTAAGAAATTTAATAACAGCTGATGTTTGTCAAGCTTGGGTCTAAATCATTTATATCTTTGCTATAAAAAGAAATATATAATTACCATCAAGAGTATGTGTTTACACTTAAACTAAACAGTAACAACAAGGAAGGTTACAATATAATCTCACATCAAATATTTTAAGGGCATCCACGTAGTTGGTGAAATATTTTTCAAACCACAATGACCGCTTCACTCTAGAAGAGTCATCAGTTGGAAGATTGTCGGAGTCTCCTTCAGAAAGGAATGGCACTAGTCGAGGTCTGATAGGGTCAGGCAGGCTAGAAGAACCTGGCAAAGAAGAAAATTACAAAATTCTCAAGCTATTGGTCCTAAATAAACAAAAAAAGACATCTTTGATCATAAAGCAATCAAGGTGACGAATTCCCAGTTTCAATAGTATCTTCTTTTATGAAGATAAGCATTACAAGTCGATATAGAGTACCACAATCAAATTATTGCCCAATAATCTGTATGAAAATTAATAACTCTTCAATTTCAAGAATATTTTTTTTTAAACATACATTTAGACTAATTTTTAAGTAGATGCAAAAGAGGTACTCACATGTCTGAAAATTTCATTATCAAGTTATCATCAGTAGTAAAATATAATAAATAATACACGATTTCAAAAACGGTCACAAAGGTTCCTCTCAACCTAATTTCAAAGGGAACTTTCAAATTCTAAGTATACATGAGTAACTAATTATCAAAAGAGTATGCCAAGTGTGAAAGACTATTTAGGACTGCCTTTTCCAGTCCTAAATAGTCCTGAAAACACCACTTGGCTGAAGGCAGGAAACAGGTGTGGGAAATATTTCCCACAAATAGGCATAAATAACTGAATATTAAATTTATCTAATAATAAATATCCGAGGAATTATCCTCTGTTATATAATAATTTTAACTAAAATGCGTAATACGGCCAGATTCTTCCTACTAGAGTCTAATGCCATATTTCTGCCAGAACCTTCCTACTCTAATACGAGACCAGTGAGTAGCTAAAATAATTCTTAAATATCGTTAACCTCCGAGCTGCCCCGCGTTTATTGTGACATTCTGGTGGTGCGCGGAAAATAAAGGTTCAGAAGATTATTTTAAATTTAAATCTAAAACCATTTTTCTCCTTCCGAGTACCAGCAGCTCAGGGATTTATTAAAACAGTCTCTAGACCTTTTTGCCTTTGATGAAGGGAAGTTAGGATTTCTCCCAGAGGTAGTCCATACCATACCCAAAGGAGATAGTATACCAGTGTAGACTAGACAATGGAGATTATTAAACGTTTGGAAGTTTCGGGTAAAGGAAAAGCGCAAGTCTATGCTTGCTAAGTAAGTAAGTAATTATCAAAAGAAGGCACCAAACCGGGAAGGCTATGAAGCACCAACAAATGTGCAGAATAATCAGAGGGCGCTAAATATCATCAAGGATGCCAATACGGGAACAAAAACGCATAAGGCGAACGATATCAAAAGTATCCGAGTCACCAAGAATTCTATTGAGGGACAGGTGACCGCGAGGGGCGGTCGGAAAGCAAGACACACGCTCGTCCTGGAAGTCAGGACATTCAAGGACATGCACGACCGTAAGAGGAACAATGCAACTAGACAATAAGGAGCAGGGCGGTGCTCCAAGTGACCATGGGTTAAGCGAGTATGGCCAATACGCAACCTCGCCAGAGCCGTTTCCCAACGCCGGTTACGGTGGTAGGAGGACGGCCACGAGGAAACACAACATTTAAGAGTACGTAGTTTGTTACCAGTAACAGACGACCAAGAAGCCTGCCAACGGGTAAGGACTGAGGAATGGATAACCGGGTAAAAGTCGGAATATGGAATACCTTTACGAGAGATGGGACAAGAGCGGACAGCTTCCTTGGCGGCAGCATCCGCACGCTCATTTAAAGACACACCAATATGGCTGGGAACCCAACAAAACTCAACCGACTTAAATTTACTGTGAACAAGAAACAGCCAATGCTGGATCTCGACAACTACTGGATGAACCAGATTAAAGGACCCGAGAGCCATGAGGGCACTACGAGAGTCAACAACTACTACAAAGGAAGACTGACAACGAGAAAGCAGAAGACGAAGAGCATAGAGAATAGCATAAAGCTCTGCTGTAAAGATGCTAGTCTCCGGAGGTAAGCGACACATGTAAGTGCGATCAGGAAAAACAACAGTAGCCAACACCATCCGCAGACTTAGACCCATCGGTGAAGACAGAAACGGAGCGGGAGTGAGAAGAAAAGTGCTCGAGGAAAAGGCGTTTTAGAACTGTAGGAGAGGTAAAAGCTTTAGTGATACGGATCAAGGATGTGCAAAACCGCGGAAGAGGGACTCCACGGGGGCAAAGAAGGAACACGAGGAGAAACATCAGAAATACGAACGGAAAGAGAATCCTGTAGGCGAGATAACCGGACAGAAAGAGGGAGGTGGTGAAGAGGAACAGGAACCGCAGGAGGGGTAAAAGTTAAAGCACGACAGAGGCGAGAGGAAGGATGTTGTAAGGACCGCGCAAGATAGCGAAGACAGTAGCGATCACGGCGGTCCTGGAGAGACAGGAAGCCAGTGTCAACATACAAGCTAAGGATGGGAGTCGAACGAAAGGCACGAGAACTGAGGCGCAACCCATTATACTTGCTAAGAACATTATTCAGTACATAGTCCTTGGTTAAACCTTTTTGCTCTTTTACATATGCCAGATAAGTCGTACAAATTTTGTTTTGATTACCATAAAGTAAATGAACAGACAGTTGCAGATTCTTATCCTCTTCCTTTCACTCAAGAGATTCTTGATAGTTTTGGCCAGTCTAAATATTTCACTACCTAAGATGCCAAAGCAGCTTATTGGGCAATTCTTGTTGCACCCAAGAACATACAGAACACTGCTTTTAGTGATCGGGTATATTTATTTGAATTTTTCAGGATGCACTTTGGGCTAAAAACTGCCCCCATCCACTTTCCAGAGGGCAATTAATTTAATTTCAAGTTCCATCCTCGGTAAGTAAGTAATTATCAAAAGAAGGCACCAAACTGGGAAGGCTATGTAACGTGAAATCTAAGTAAAGAGAACACGAGCAAAGAAAAAGATCAAGACAGGAAAGGGTGCGAGTCCGAGAGTCCAAATGCGTGGGTTCAGCAGAATTCAGAAGAAACAGGGAAGAAGAGAGGATAACGGCTCAAGAAGGCGACCCCGGGTGTTCGTCAGAACATCACCCCAAAGGGAATGACGACAATTGAAATCACCCAGCAGGAGCACAGGCTCCTGCAAGGAGTCCAGTAGGTGTTTCAGATCGGGAAGAGAAAATAGGACACTCGGGGGGGAAGATAAATGGAACAAACTGTGTACCATTTCCCCACAAAGATACGAGCAGCAGAACAATGGAGAGGCGAAGGAAAAAGTAAGGGGACAAAGGGAACATCAGAGCGAATCAAGAGAGCAGAAGAATTAGGAGCCCCAGCAACAACTGGGGGGGAGGGGGAGGGAGAGGAATATCCACGAAAGCGACCAGGACGAGCACCAAGCATCGGCTCCTGGAGACAGACAAAGGGGCGAAAACCGCAGAATCAGTAGTTGGAGTTAAAGGAAATTGGCGTAATAACCTCGATCGTTCCATTGAAGAATAGACATCGACGAGAAGAGAAAGGACAACAACAGAACAAGGAAGAAACAAAGGTGAAAGAGCAACATAGCACATTAAAGAAGATCAGGGTCGGGATCAGGGTCAGGAAAGTCTGTATGGTCAGCAAAGGGGTATGAGTAAACTGAGCAAAGACGGAGGGAAGGAAGCGAGAGAACAGACCAGAGGTGAACGGGCGGGGTCCAGAGGAGACAACCGAGAAAAGCAGTCAAGGACAGCAGCAGGAAGAGGGGAAATAGAAAGAGGGGAGCGCAGCCCAGCAAGGGCATCAACCGAGAGGGAAGCAGGGGCCAAAGAAACCTCCATAGCAGGAACAGGAGGCGCAACCACCGAAATGGGAGGGGAAGGAGCGATAGAGTCAGTAGTAGGGGCCGAGGAAGAAAGCGAAGCCTTCTTACCTGCTGGGGAGGAGGAAGGAGAGGAGCCAGGCTTACGCTTCTGACTTAAAGAGACCGGCATCCCAGCAACTACGTACCGGGCAACGGATTACAGTGTCTTAACAGAAGCTGGACGAGAGCACACACGACGGCCGTTAGGAGTGCGATGGACATCAGCCCGCACTGACAGGCGGCAGGGAGAGCCAAGAGACTGAGAAGAAGGACGGGAAGGAAGATCAGAGGGATACGAGGAAGAAGACACAGGAGACATGACAGACCGGGTAGAAAGAAGGGGAACCCCAGACAGAGGACCAGGAGGGGGACCTTGCAGGACAGAACTCAAAGGAACAGAGGAGGGGGCAGTGGGTGTATCAGGGTCCAAGGCCCGGAAACGGTTGCGAGTCTGACGAAAGTGGGAAGGAGGAGGAGAGGACGAGCGCAACACGCGAGCATAAGAGACATTAGCATAAGGCGGGAGCCGGCGAACCTGGCACCTCACCTCAGGAAAAGATAAACGCTCCCGGTGCTTCAAGTTGAGGACGGCTACCTCAAGTTCATAGTGGATACAGGCATGGGAGAAGGTAGGATGGGCCTCTGAACTCTGCAGAGTTCAGAGTTCAGAGTTGAACTCTTCTCTGAGCAAGAACTCTGCGATTGATGACCCCAGGTAGTATGGCACTTAATAAGCTAGCTTCAAAGAGCCACCAGAAAACACCACATGGGACAGATTTTGCCGCGATGAACTTCAATAAAATTATAAGCCTTAGTGATTCAAGTTACAAATTATATATGATCAAGGGTATCAACATTACAGACTTGTGATAACTATGTAGACGTTTTGTTAATGTAGAAAAATTATAAATGCTGATATTATAATATCAGCATAGTTATTTGCTACACCGCATTATTTAAAATAAATATGAATGCAAAATTATAGCTCAGATAGAATCCGAGTTATAAATAATTGTTACTGAATAAATATGATGAAACAAGTTTGTTGACTGATAAAAGTATTTAGTATTTCATTCAGACATTGGAAATTACTGTCTCACCTGCATCATTTTTCTCAAATTGTTTTTTACAGAAAGCTTTGTCATCAGACTGAGGATTATCTTGCTCCTTAACCATGAATTCCTCTACAAGTTCAAAAACTTTGTCTACGGTAAGATCATCATCTTGAGATGACAGCAACTCCACACTCTTGTCTACCACACCTGATGGAAGAAAGGGAGAAATTATCAACAAAAACATACATAATGTAACCTTTATATACAAACTTAAAGACTGTTGTCCACTGGAGCGGATGTCCTGTTTCAGTTCGTGTTGTGTTGAATTTTCTTTTTTGGCTTTTCAGGACAGGCATCTTATGCCGGATATTATCACCTCGTATCGTTCGGCGCTGGCGGAGCCGCTCCAGTTTGCGTTGGGGTGGATGTCACTTCTGCTCCGTTTTCAAGCTTTCTCGTGCGCTATTCCACCTCCGGTCTGCTCATGTGCCGCCCGAGGCATCCTGATCTTTGGACCGGGTGTTCTCTTTTCCTCTCTCTTCCCGTCGATTTGCAGTGTCCCTTTGGGTCAGTGATTGTTTCCTCAAGGCTTTGTTTTTGTTGGCTTTGGCTATTGGGGATCAGGTCGGGGAGCTTCATGCTCTCCTCCAGCGTAGAGGCTTCTCTTTTTGTCCAGGTGGACGTTTTGTTTTACTGCAGCAGTCTCCTTTTCTGGTGAAGAATGAGACGGCGGGTTTCTGGAGGGGTCCTTGGGTTATTGATGCATGGTTAGTCAGGCCAGGGGTGTATCATGTGTTGTGTCTGGTTGCAGCGTTACGTCGTTAAATGCACGCCTCGGCTTCTGTGTCTGGGGACGGGTTGTGGGTTGACCTGGAATCTTTCATTCCCTGTTCCAGGGCTCGGGTCTCTCAGGTCGTCCGCAGGGTTATTAAATCTAGCCATCTTGCAGTCTACCCTTGCGCCCATGATGTTCGGAAATTCGCAACTTTGGCTGCTGTATTTGGTAATATGTCTGACTGACTTTCGGGAGTGGGGGTTTTGGAGATCAAACAATGTCCTGGCTGCCCGTTATCTTGTTAATATGCCGGGCCCTCAGCGGTCTTGTGTTGCCTTGGGTCAGCGGCTGAAGCCAGTTGTCTCGTCCTCACGAGTTGTGCGGTGCTGCCGCCTCTCGGGTACGTCCCTGTCTTTCCTGCTCTTTGGATAGCTTGCTCCAGGGAGTCAACAGGGCTCCCCACAGAAAACCAGCATTGAATGTAATGAAACATTTTCTGGGTAGAGCCACGGAGGCTCCCTGGCACCCTCCCTCCCTCCAGCCGGCTGTTTTTGTTTCGTTTAGTCAGTCTCCAAACTAGTAGTCCGGCGGCCGGCTCGGTGTGCCGGGGCTTTCCCCCCCCCCCCCTAGGGGGAGGCCCTGGTCTGTTCGGTCTCGGGTTGCAATTTTCCTACCAATTGGGGTCTATTTTGGGATGCCTACCTTTCTGGGTGTCTAACCCCGGTTGATGGTAGATATGAAACTTTCATGCAAGGGAGTTTCATAGGCTATTGCTCCCCGAGTCTGAGGGGACCATGTTCTGGCTAGTGGTCCCCGGTAGGCATGACAACTCCATATGACATAAGCCCCATACTAATACTGTATAAGCTAATATCAGTCCAATAGCTCCAGGGAGCTGATGGGGCGCTCAACAGAGCAGTAGGAATTCTTTGGCCTTAAGCCACGTACTGGAAATTGTTAGGTTATTCAGCGCCATGTATTCCCCAAAGCACAATCCATCAAATGTTTTATTTGCTATACAGATGCCCCTGTACACCAAAATACACGGACGAACAATGAAGGAATGATGTCCAATCATGCCACTGACCATCCGTCAGTGTGCCAGCCAATGGCACCCATAGGTGAGGGGAGTGGAACTACCAGGCATCTCTAGCTATCTGTATAGATTTAAATTTAAAACCAGCAATAACCTGTCACAAGACAAATTCTCAGATTTTGATCAGAAGCTAATTTCTCTTATTTGGTATATAATGCCAATTTAAGAACTAAAACATCAAAACTAGGAACACATTCAAAAATTTAATCAAATATAGTTAATAGTTCCAATGACAAAAAATAATTATCTTTATTGCAAAGCATTCTACGGCATCAGCTGCAGGTGTGAGTACCCACTAGCATTAGGGCATGTATCTATAAAGGTTGATCCAGATTTAATTATTTGTTTTCCGGATCTCTCTCGGTAGATTTACCTAAACCCTATTTAAAATTGTATAATATTCTCCACCAGGGGTTACATGACAGAACACCAAAAAAAAAAAAACTTTTATTTTAAGTTTCAAACTGATGCTATAAGGACACCACAAATTACAAAAATGAAAATCCTGTAAAAGCAATAAAACAAGATGGCCCTGCCAGCTGGACCAAATTTATAGAAGGTATGCTGGTAAGCCATTTTAAAATTGATCAAAGTTAATGTCAATGAATTTTAAGCTTAAAATTCTTATACGAAAGTTTTCCTTACCAAGACTGCAGAGAGACTCAGGTTCTGCAGACAGATTGAGATCAACTTGCTCTCCAGGTTGGGCCTTGGACCGCGACCATGCCAAGTTGACTTTGTTACTAAAACACTTCTCTATCTTCAGCTCCTGAGTGTCAGACACGACCTCCCCGTCATCACGGCTGTACCACACTACCAACTGTGAAGAGACCAGGGGTAAATACTGCATCATCAACGAGCAATCTTTGCATAATCAAGGTGGTCATGGATGCAATTAAGAAGAATAAATTAGTGAAATATCTAGAATTATTGTATACACTATATTGTAATGTTTTTCCACTTAATAGCCGAAGAAATGGAGGAGGACATGCAGCAGCCTAACCTCCAACACCTGCCCAGCCTCTCAACCTTTATCCCACTCTGCCTCATAACCTACAAGGCCCACCCAGCTTCTCAACCCCCGAGCACCCGACCAACTGTCAACACTCTACCAGTGTCTCCGCCTCCAATGACCCGTCCAGCCTCTGCCTCCAACCACGAGTATCAGTTCAACCTCCAACCTCAAAGCCAACACCTGCCTCTATATCATCTCTACTTTTTGGTTACTCATTCGATAATGTCCACCCCATCCCACTTCTATCACAGTTCCTTCATATTCCTATTATTCTCCATCACAATGCATACATTCTCCTCAATGCCGTGTTTTGGAATGTGGAACAGGAAAGAAAATAGACCACATGCAACATACAAACTGTGAAAAAGCTTAAAAAAATTCTGAGAGAGATCAAGGGGTGGTACTAGAAAGAAACCTCTCAAAAGATCACAAAGAACATTGTATGAGGAACCTATGCTACACTTTCCAATTTCAGAATTGCTTTTAAATACATGGATGGTGAAATACTAAAACTGTTCACAACCCTTGTGAGACCAAAGTTACAATATGCAGAAGTTGTATGATGCACATGCATCAAGGAGCACATCAACAAACTAGAAAAGGTGCATAGACTAAATAGCTTCTAGAACAAAGACAAGAGCTATGAGGAGAGGCTTAAAAGGCTTTAAGTATGCCAAACTAGAAGATAGAATAAAAAACCAGCAATGAATGTAATGAAACGCCCTTTTCTGGGTGAGCCTGGAGGCTCCTTCGAGCTATTGGGCTAATATGCGAATCAGGGGTTCCAGAAACCAGTATGTCCGGCAAAGCCTACTGAACGAGTCAGCGTTGACCATCCATTTCGTGGACAGGGAAATGAACTGGGACAGGTCGTCTGACAGGACGTTGGACACCTCCCCCTCCCGACCCCGAACATGAAGGGCCAGGAGAGCCAAACCCCAGAGAACTCAGCAGACGAGTCATCCAAAGCGACCAACCCCAGCAAAGAACCGCATCAAACTCCCGCAGTTCAAGCAATGAACCACCGTGGAGCAGTTCGAATGGAGCCAGATCGTTTAACTCCAAGTGATCCAAACAGCCTGAAGCGACAACCACACGGCCGCGAACTCCCGCACCGTGCTGTGGGCTCGATGGTAGGACGGACCCCACCGACCCTGGCTGGCCTGGTGAGCACTGGGCACAAAGACCCAGCCAAGAGACGACGCGTCCGTGAACACCGAGCGAGGGCTTGACGAGATGCCAAGGCACTGAACCCCGAAAAAAAGCGAAGAGGAAGCCGACGACGCAGCATCCGACTAAGGCACCCAGAGGCCAAACCCATGTTGTTGTTAAAGATTCGCTACCTGGAACAAAAAGTTCCAAGTAACATGGGCTATGGTGAGCCCGTAGATAGTTATTGGCCGAACCCAGAAATCGCGAGAGAGGGGGAAAGATATGTCCCCAAAGGAACCATAACAGCCAAGAAGCCAAACCCGGCCCAGCGGGTAGGCCAACACGGCAAAATTCAGATTCTCTCACAAACCCCTTGAGCAACCACCTTGTGACCTGGGAGCCCTCCAGAAACAGATGAAGGTGGGACCGCAGACGCGGCAGAGCCTCCGGATGGAGAGATAAGGAAGCAGTCATAGTCCCGCACAAGGCCCAGCCAAGTCTGAACCCGAGAGGGAACCAGATGGGACTTCCTCCAGTTCTCCAAGAGCCCGAACCTGGCGAGGTGGGAAAGAACCAAATACCTGGCGAGCAGACACACGGACTGGCTTGGAGCCCATACCAGCCAGTCGTCGAGGTAGGCCAGAACCCGTACCCCTAAGAGAACCAAACGGGCCACCACGACACAGGCAAGGCATGTGAAAACACGAGGTACCAGATTCAAGCCGAATGAAAGGCAACGAAAGCGGCAAGCCTGATGCCCCACAAAACCAAGCAAGTCTCTGAACCTCTGATGAAATGGGACGTACGAATATGCATCCCCGGAGGTTCAGGGACACCATCCAAGTGCCCGGCTCTAAAGAAGACAGACCTGGAACAGTAGTCATCTGATAGGAGGGGCAAAAGACCCAGGGGTTCAAATAGGACAAGTCCAGAATGAACTGCAGGTCCGCACAGTCCCGTTTCAGAACTGGGAACAGGCGGGAGATCCACTCGAGGGACAAGTATGTTTCAACCACGCTCAAGCAAGCCAACTCTAAGAAGACCTGATAGAGTGCAGGAGAAAAGGCCTGCCCACCAGCCGCGAATCCCCCCGAAGGAGGAGGAACCACCTAACGCCACCGCAGGCTGCAAGAAACGACCCGAAACGCCCACAAATCGTGGGACCAAGAGTAAGCAAACCGTACAAGCCTCCCCATTATCACCCCGTGAATGGGACGACCCACAAAAGGGCCGACGCCCCTTACAAGAAGCCAACAGATGAGCAGAGTGATCACCACGCTGCCCATACGTAGTCTTCTCCGAAGGCTGCGCCGGCTTCGAAACTGGCACAACAAGCCTACCACGATGGGAGGAACCCTGAGCTCTGCCACGACCCTTCAAGGAAGAGCCCCTACGGCCCCCCCCCCCCCCCAACCCCTGAAAACCAACAAGTCCAACATGGGACGACAACTAGAAGCTGCTGCCTGCAGATACTGCACCACCATAGACTCTCCAAACAGCAAAGGACAAAAAGGCATAGAAAACCTAAAAGCCAGGGTCCAAGCAGACTCCAAGGATTGAGCGAGCACCGCCAATCGATTCCATCGATTGAGCGACATGCGAGACGAGAAGCAAAAGACAGAGTTACCGCCAGTAAGGAAAGGAACTGAATTCGAAAGAGGCAAGATCCATTATCGAGGTGCAATCCGCATCATGCAGGAGGTAAGCCACAAGGGCCTCCTGCACCTCATGAGGTGGGATGCTGGAGGCCAAAAACCTCCAGAAGAAAGGGACTGAAGCACCCAAGGGAACCCGAGGCCAAACCTGGAGAGGGACCAACGATATATCAAACTCGTACAGGCAACGAGGATAAGAATCCCCACCCGCCCCCTATAACAACAAGCCTCTCAGAGGATACCAAAACCCAAGCAGGGTCAATCGGGACCCCCCCCCCCCCGCTCCCCCAAGTCAACCCCCTCCCCGCCCCAGAAACCCCCCACACCAGGACCCAGGGCCGATCCGTCCTCCAAGCCCTATGCCTCAAAAGAAAAGGCAGAGTCCACTGGAAAAGCAGGAAAGAAGGGGGCCCCACTGGTCAGACCCAGAAGCAAAGGCTGGAGGAACTGGCTCGAACACCTCTGTCGCCACACCAGATGGGGCATCCCCCGAAACTGCCCAAGTCTCGCCACCAACTAAACCCTGCCCCGACTCCAAAACCCTCATGTTTCTGAGTCGGGTGTAGGTGGGGAAGGAACAGGACTAACAACAGCAGGGAAAGGACAAGGGGGCGTGGACGAAACCAAAGTCGATGCGACTAATGCCCCAAAGTCCGGGCCCCTATAACTAAAACAGGGCATCCGGGGGAGCAACCAACCTAGCACGCTACAGCAACCTAAAATGCGCATGAAACTCTGAAGCCGCCTGCACCCGAACATGAAGACTAGTGGATTGGGTGAATTTGAGTACCAGCAACGAACACCCCTCACAGGACGGGTTAAAGGTATCACCGACCCTACAGGCAGAATGACGGAGGCAGAACTGGTGATTGTCACCCTAAGACAAGGGGGGACAGCAATCTTAAAACTTGCATGAAGCGAGACGAGACCCAGAGGACGCATCCATCGGACCACCGAGCCCCCAATAGGGGTTTCCAGGAACTTTAGAAGCTCTGCTAATGGAAGCCCAGGCAAGGTACTGCTAACCAGAACCCCAAACTACCAAGCGAACTACTAAGTGTTAAACCCCTGTGACGTGCACACGCACTGGGGACCTAGCAGAGGACCACCAAGAATATATATAGATAAGGGTCAACACCAAGGGCAGAAAAGAACTCTGTGCTGACGTCACAACTAATTATAGCTTTTATTTGGATCCAACACCAGGCAGAAAAACTAAAATAAGAGGAAAACCCTGCAAGAGTACAACGTCTCCAGGTGGAACAGTAGGCCACTGTTATTGTGAAAACTAGCTACACAGTTCCTTGCGCCTTTACCAGGGACGAAACTACCTCCTACCCAGAGGCAAACAGTGGTGCAAGACACTCCAGCTGACTCCAAGGGTGGGCAATTTCCGACCAGCAAAAGACCACAGCGGAGGTAGGTCCCCAAGCGACTTGTGGAAGGTAACTCCAAGCCACAGTGGCAGTACTTACAGGGCACTAAGGAAAGATAACCCTAGGCACATGCAGCAAGAGTACTTGTGAAATTACTCCTGCTCCACACACCACCAGAGAACAGGACCACACTTACGAACCTTACCTCCTGTAGAGGTTAGTTTCAATAATAAAATGATAGTGGACACAGTGGAGAGTGTGTATTAGAATAAATCCACAGCCAAGATCAGAGAGACCGTGAGTCAAGAGTAATACTCCACCCAGTAAAGTAGTGCCTTCTCAGCTGGAGATTGTCATAAATAATGTGAACGGGAATTAGCCTAACTATGTAAGGGAAAAATGGACTCAATCAAAAAGTATGTATGGGTATTATGGTAAATAAAATCTATAAAGGGTTTGATTGCATATGTAAAGAATAGAGTATTACGGGGCGATGATGCAAGAGAGGTGGACGCCATCTTGACTGGAGGGGGAGGTGTATCACTGCCGATCGTATAACCAGGGTTGCAAGATAGGGTAGAGTATTATTACAGATTTTGGAGAGGTTTTATAAGAGTCCAGGTTTCCTAGAAGTTTAAATATATGTGTCATTGGATGATAGCTGTGGTGGCTGGGTACACAGTTCCAGGTTTGGGACGGTGAGCCGTGGGGTGGCCAGAGCCACTTAAGGTTATAATACTAATACAAAGTGATCTTATGTTGGGAGGAAATCGCCTTGTTGAAATGTATTCATGTGTGACATACGTATAAATTTGTGACTTTGTACTAGGCTGTTGTCCTTGCTCCTTGATTTACCCCTAGACAACATTTTAAGGTCTACCACCACCAAATTCTTGACAGGTCTATGACAACAAAATCATGTCACTACTGATAAAAATAAGACAGGCCGAGCGGACAGCACGCGGGACTTGTGATCCAGGGTCCTGGGTTCGATCCCAGGCGCCGGCGAGAAACAATGGGCAGAGTTCCTTTCACCCTATGCCCCTGTTACCTAGTAGTAAAATAGGTACCTGGGTGTTAGTCAGCTGTCACGGGCTGCTTCCTGGGGGTGGAGGCCTGGTCGAGGACCGGGCCGCGGGGACACTAAAAGCCCGGAAATCATCTCAAGATAACCTCGAGAAGAAGAATGCCGTGATACACACCCACAAGGCACAGCACTGGACAACGTCAGGGACCAGAGTCGCACGACTGCCAAGTCTCGCATCAGACTCGGAACTGGGGGTGGATAGCCGGCGCAGGGGCTCTGCAGCTCCATTTCCCCTCGCAGAGAGGAGGGGAGCTGCCCAGACAGCGGCACGGTGACGGTTGGGACGTCATGCTCGTTTGCTCTTTTTAGTTTGGGAAGTTTTGCTTAACAGTTCTGCTTTCAGTAGCAATTTTTTAACCAGATGGGGTTTGCTTTGGGGCCGCCTACCTTTCTGGGTGCCCGATTCAGTCGATGGCAGACAGAATGCTTCCAACCATATGGGGGTTTCTATAGGCCATTGCTCCTCATGCCTCTTTGAGGGGGGGGAGCCAGGTTCTGGCTCATGGTCCCCGGTAGGCAGAACTATTCGCTTTGACTGATGCCAGGGTCTAATACATTCACATCAGCCCGGATAGCTCAGGGAAGCCGAAGGAGCTTCCCCCAGAAAAGTTTCAAAAACTTTTGGCATTCGTTCTAAGATCAAATATTGTCTCACCCTGCCCTTTTAACTATTTCTCTCATCAATCCTTATCTCAATTAAGGTATCTGTGCTCGGAGTTCTATTACCCAAAATCATCTACGTCCTCTAACCTCCCAACATATATCTGCTATTAGAGCAATAACATACTCTGGCCCCAGACAGCACTCGGCCCCTCTACTTAAATCTTTGAAACTTAGATATTTAGTCACTGCACATCCTCTCGAGTGTACTCTATATACATTAAACTCTGAACTGAAATGCCTTAAACACTACCTAGAATGTTTTAACAGACCCATGGGCACCACACTAGAAACAAATACCTATTTGATATTCAAAGAGTGCGACTTAACCAAACTAGAAATGCATTGCATATCAAGGGACCAAGAATGTGGAATAACCTTCCCAATCATATCAAAGGTTGTACCTCTCTCAACCAGTTTAAGATAAAAAAAACTAAGTACTACATAATAAACGCCATGTAACCTACCTTGCCTTCTAAACGTCAACCTATGTCTTGCTATTTTCAAACAATATTGGTTATTCCAGTTTAACTGCCGATATCTGCCATGTATAAATTTAAAGAAAATTGTAATCTGTTTATTTAGTTAAAATTCCTTCTGCTGTTCTATTGCATTTTCTCCTGTTCCATCCAGCATGCAATTATAACTATCATCATTCTCCTTTAACTTTTTTCTTTTTTTCCAATTAAATTTATATACTTTCAATCTCAATTAGTATTAAGTTTTAGTCTAAGTTTTTTTCCTGCAACTTGCCCGAAATGCTGTGCATATTAGCGGATTCAGGCATTGTATGTACTAGCTCTATCTATAAATCTAACATTATGTTCGTTTCTCATTTTCAATGTATGTTCCTTTACCTGAATAAACATCTTATCTTAACAAATTCCATCACTGACACCACATACCTCCTGAACAAATCTCCTGTTCCTCCTGATAACGTCCGCCACGGACACCACCTGCCCCCTGACACTAAACCCCAACTACTGACACCACCTGCCCCAGATTCCAACCCTCACCAGTGACACTACCTGCCTCCCATGACAATTTTATCATCCTTCAACCCCTTCTCCCTGGAAACAATAGGTAAGCAAAAAACACTGTACAATTGTTTACACTTTGGTGAATCATAGGTGATGACAGCCACCTCTGACGCTCAGTCTCCATGAAGGCTTGGATGAACAATCCTCACTTAATTGGACATTTATATGTTTCACTGAACATTTAGTACCAAACTTCAATTCATTCAAGCCATCCGGGAAATCGTTAGAGCGGGGTTCATTAGAGTGAGGATGCACTGTATATATAATATACTAATACTTAACAGAAGAATCGTGTATGGCCACATACTGTACCATTGCTTTCGGCGAGACTGTTGGTGGAAGTCTGACTGGAATCTCTATGAATCCTCTGATTATATTGATGGGTGGTGGTGCCAAAGGCTCAAGAAGGTTCTCTTCATCAATAGGCAAATCCTTTGAAAGAAGTTCATGCTCATACGTACTTGAGAACTGGATTTGCCCTCTAGAGACAACCTGTCGTAAAAGTATATAGTTAAATTAAATTCAGTGTATGTAATGATGTAAATTATTTGCACATCAGAATTCTTTCAGCAATCACATAGCTAATCCTGCGATACACCCTCATACTCAAATACTGTTTATACACAAAAATGCCGACCCCACAGACAGGGGTCAGTGGGGTCGAATTCATAAATTTTAATTAACATGCTATTCATTCAAGACGGGAATTTTCTCAAAGATAAAATATTGGGATTATTTTCCCAATATCCCACTTCCCATATACTGGGTAGTGGGATACGAAAAACCCCCGGCCCAGCAACAATAAACCCTGCCCAAAACGCACAAGGGACCAGGTAGGATCAAAGGTTCCCCAAGCACTCCACATACCCGGAAACCCATGACACAGACCACAGGGGAGAACCCTTATTCACACCCACCACCCTTGAAGAATAGGTAGAGTCCTGGGGAAAAACTTCAAGGAAGGGAGCCTGCTGGGCCGACTCTGAAGCCACGGGGGGGGGGGGGGGGGGAATCGGGCTCAACAACCTCCGTCCCCGAATCGGAATGGGCAATCCCCGAAGCCACGCGAGCCTCATCCCAAGCTAAACCCTGGTAGGGTTTAGGGTTTAACCCTAGACTAGGGTTTAAACCCTTAAAACTAGGGAAGGTAGCCCTAGGTGCATGCAGCCCAACGTACAGAAAACACCAGGCCAACGCACCACCACCCAGCTGGCACAGCCACAAAGACAAAATCCAGACATGACAGGGAAGCCAGAGGTGACGTCTGGCCACCAGGCCCGTCAGTCATGAACTGGGGTGGTGAGCCGTCTGCTTGCCTGAGCGGGCTCCCCTTCCCCCCATGTCGAGGGAGGGAGAGGGCGCTAGTGAGCGGCTGCGCTAGTTGGATGACGATTTGATAGTTTGTTTTCCTTTTGGGGGGAGTTCTTTGGCTCTGTTCGAACGTTGGTTGCAATTTTTACCAGTTGGGTGTTTGTATTGTTTCGCCTATCCATCTCGGTGTCTTCCCTAGTCGATGGCAGACATGACATACTCTTATATGTAGAGTGCTCGTAATGGCCATTGCTCCCTGCGCTTCTCTGAGTGGACCAGGTTCTGGCCTCCGGTATAAAGATATAAAGAACTCCCGTGATTGATGACATCAAACTAATATGGCACAAGTTAGTTTGGATAGCTTCAGGGAGCCGACGGGGTTCCCCACAGAAATAAAGCTAAAATCTTAACTTAAATATTCCTTGGCCTAGTATAACACATATATGTACTATATTTGGGTTCATATAGTGCGTATCAGGACTAGAAAGTTTAGGTTAGGTTAAGTTTTCTTTGCAACATCAGTACAAAAACTTTTCCGGTTTGTCCAAATTCAATAGTACCGATTTCTACTTTATAATTGCCTTCTGTGTCAATGTAAGTACTGTATGATGGTCTCATCATTAAGTCTATCTGTAAGTACTGTATAACTATTACCCGGACTATAAGGGAAGGACCCCATCCAGATAAGCCCAACATCCGAAATAAGCAGACTTTTTACTGGGGAAATACAAAAATTCACAATCTTTTTGTACCACAACCAATGAAATTTGAATTTACATACACACACTAATTAGTGTGTGGGGCTGGGTGGGTGGTTAGCTACCTAGTTGGTAGGTGGGCAGGCTGGATGGCTGGCAGGAAAGTTGGATGGATGGATAACCAGTAGATGGGCTGGATGGTTGGCAGGCAGACAGGCAGGTGGGTGGATTTAGGCAGGTAGGTAGGTAGGTGGATTTAGGCAGGTCGCTGGATGGGTGGGCAGGCAGGTGGGTGGGCGGGCAAGCGAGCAGGTAGACATGATTGGGTGGGTTTGGGCAGGCAGGCAGATTTGGGTGGGCAAGCAGTCAGGCATGTGGGGCACACATGCAGGCGGTCAGGTAACATTCCCTACCCATTCCTCCATACACCCACACCCTACCTTTGCCCTCCCTCCATCCACCACACTCTCAACCCTCCCCATCACTCAATCCTCCCCTTCCCTCCTCATACCATGCCCTCATCCTCCCCTTCCCTCCCCATACCATGCCCTCATCCTTCCCTTCCCTCCCCATACCATGCCCTCATCGTCCCCCTCCCAACTCTTTTGGGAAGACAGGTTGTCAGGATGCTGACAAGTTAGACAAGCTGTCAGGATGCATAAAGTCTGTGCCACAGACTGCCAGACAAGACAACACTGGACAGACAGATGAACACACATCTATTTCCTGCTCAAAATCATGCTAGCCCTGACTCTAGCTCTTCCCCTAACATCCCACAAGTGTTAACACTTGCTGTACGATGGCATAAGATAATATGCACCTTAACCACTGCACTGCACAGATCACCTTCAGGCACTAGATTGGTGGTGCGCTGAGCGCCTCACGGCGCTTGTAGCTTACGATTCAAAACTGGGGCAGCAAGTTTAAATGTAAACAGCATGTTTAAAAAAGGTAGCAACCATGTCTGATGCATTTTATTTTCTTGTAAATATTTAAATGAATAAATAGTCAACCAAATACTGTTTAAATATTATGTTGTGTTTTTTAATATCCGTAACTAGCCCTCCACGGCAAAAAGAACAAAATATATGATTAAATAACTCCTGCGCCACCTCCGACTAATCCACCCTAGGAGTCTGGCCCTAGCTTCGGTGCGGGGCGGACGTGTTGAATCGGCGCTCCAGCAGTTTGGTGTTGTTTGCCCGTTTCGGCCGGTTGGGGGCGGGTGTGTGTCTGCTCGCCTGTGCTGACGTGGCGTTACGATGGGGGTCCCTCTACCCCCAGTCGTCCGGGCTCAGTCTGTGGGACTAGAGTTCTCTGTGCGGGCTGGTTACCCGGAGATTGCCCTGGCTTGTGAACTGCTCTCTGTCCCTGTGTTTGCGATTTATGGGGTAGAGTTGGTAACGGCCCGTAGGGCCATTGTGAAGTTTGCAGAGGAGGCGGCGTATCGCGATTTTCTCCGGCGATACGAGGGGCGGACACTGCCCCTGCCGGATGGTGCGGGCACTGTCACCCTCTCGGATAGAAGTGGTGCACTTACTTACATCAGTGTGCATGGGGCTCCCTTGGAGTTTCCAGAGGCTCTGCTACGGCGGTATTTCGGGCGGTTTGGCGCAGTTGTTAGTGTGAGAGTGAACGTGGTGTCTTCTAGTCCTCTTAAGGGTGTGAGGTCTAACATTCGCACCCTGGGCATGAGACTCCGGGCGGATATTCCGTCCTCTGTGCGCCTTATGGGGTTCAACGTTCGGGTGTTTTACGCCCGTCAGCCGCGGACGTGTTATCGTTGTGGTCTTTTGGGCCATCAGGCTGCTGACTGTTCTGCGCCTCCTGTTGCACCAGTGAACCTCTTCAGTGAGGAGGATTTCCCGCCCCTTCCTGTGGGGGATGATTCGGTGGGTATGGACGTCTCTTCGGCTGCGGAGGTGCCCTCTGTAGCAGCTGTTGCTCCGCCTGTTGCGCCCCCTGTTGTTGCCGCATCTCCTCCGGAGGTTGGGTCCTCGCCTAGTGCTCCAGCTGGTGTCCCTGAGCCTCTTCCGCCTGCCGTTTGCTCGGTCCCCTCGTCTTCCAGTTCTTCCTCTGCTGTGTCTGTCCCGGTCCCTGCACCCTCGCCGTCTGTCCCGGCTGTGCTGGGAGATGAGGTGGATCCGGAATTCCCTCCTGTGCCTGGCCTGGTGCCCCGTGTGGTTGAGGAGGCTGCCGTGCTGCGGCGTGCGTCGGTTCGCTCGGTTGGTGCTGCGCGGGTCGCTGAGTCTGCCTCCGGGTCTGATGATGTGCGGCCCGAGCCTAAGCGTTCCCGGCGTTCTTCTGTGTGGGCTGATGTTGGCGACTTCGACGAGTGTCGTCCTTCCGTTGACGGTGGCGTGGCTCCGGATGTGGTGCACACTACGGTGGTGGCGGAGGTACACTTGCCTGAGGATGCCGGTGCCGGCGTTTCGGCCTCAACCTCTGGTCCGGTGTCCGAGGGTCCTGCGTCGGATGGCTCCGGTTCTTCGTGGGCGGTGGTTCCCCCTGCTGTAGTTGGTGGTGAGCGGGGTGGCCTGGTGGTGATGTTGAGAAAGGATGCTCGCTCTGGATGTTCTGTGGCTCCTTCCTCGTTACCCGTTTCCTCGGCAGCGGTCTTGCCGCCTCTTCCGTTTCCTGCAGTCCCTTCCGTGTCTCCTGCGGAATCCGTGGAAGTGCTATCGTCTCAGCGTCCGACACCTGCTCCGATGACGAAGGCGTGGCAGGCTCGGCGTCCCTCGTCCGCTGCTCCGGTGTCATCTGCTTCCTCGAAGGGCGTGGTTGGCGCTCCCCGGCCTCGTTATGCGACTTGCGTCAGTGACCTTAGGCATTGGCCGATGCCGCCGGATATAGATGTTCCCGAGTTTATGATACCCGCTCGAGCGCGGGGGGTCGAAAACCCTACCGACCTTGAAGATCTAGTCTGGGAAGCTTACAAGGCGAAATATCCTCATGATCTTTTCCCGGAGAAGTACATTTCTCACGAGGTTCCTCGCAAGTGATTTCTATGTATTTTGTGTTGCCTGGTTGTGGGGTGTGTGTGTGAGTGGGTGGGGTGGGTATTGTTTCCCGGTTCCTGCGTGCTCCGGTTTGTATTGTGGGTTTTCTTGTATGGCTAGTGGGGGGGGGTGTGCGGTTCCTGTGCGTTTGTGTGTTCGGTTGTGGATGTCGTGTGCGCTTGCTTGTCATATTGTGTGCCCTTCAGGCTGTTGGGGTGTGCTCTTTATGTGTGCATTATGTGTTTGAGGTGTTAGCAGACTTGTTTTGTCTGTTTCTCGCCTCTATGCTTCCCTTATGTTTGTGTTACGCTGTGTTTATATTTGTGTTATGTTTGTATATGCATTTTTTGTTTTGTGGTCAGCCCTTCTGGCAGGTCGTCTTCTTGATTTGTTCCTTTGTCATTGTTCATGTGTGTGCTTTGTTCTTTTGTTCTGTTATATTTGTTCTGTTTTTATTGTACATTATACGCATGCTTGCATGTAAAAATAAAAATAAAAAAAAAAAAAAAAAATCCACCCTACCCTCCCTGATGGCTACCCATCCCTTGTTAGGGTTAACATGAGAGTCATCTCTGGTACACACTCCTCAGTGACAGGCAGCTCCTAGCTGCAGCACACACTCTACATGTCTCTCTGCACCGATAAATGTAGACACCCACATGCTGATACCCGCACGACATTCAATGACCCACCACACCCACTCCTGATGCTTGCCATATCCACAACCAATCCTGACACCCACCACACCTACACCCACACCCACTCCTGACACCGACCACACTCCCAATACTCCAGCCTCCCTACTAGCCTGCCTGCCTCCCTCCCTCCCTGGCAGGCTCCCTCCCTGCCTCCCTCCCTCCCTACCTGGCAGGCTCCCTCCTTCACTCCTTGCCTTCCTGGCAGGTTGCCTCCTTATCATCTTGCCTTCCTGGCAGGTTGCCTCCTTCCCTCCTTGCCTGCCTGGGTGGCTAACTGCCTCTCTCCCTCCTTCTATGCCTGCCTCCCTCCTTTCCTACTTGCCTCCCTCCCTCCCTCCTTCCCTACCTGCCTCCCTCCCTCACTAATTTTCTGAGAAATTTAAATAATTTTACTTGTGAAATTATCTCAATAATTATGATGGGCTGCGAGAGTTATGGCAAGTGGTGTACAACGAGTGTTAAGCCGGCGTTTCATTTCTTTATCTGTCAGTGGTAAATGTTCACATTTTATATTCAACAGCAAGTCAACCCTTGGTTTCAAATTTTATTCTTCAAAAGTTGACTTATACACCAGCATATACGGTAAACTGTCTGCCTGTCTATTTGTATCAGGTCAAACCTCCAGTCATCCCGATTCTGTGGACATTCATCCGGATGTGGACATGAAAATATCCGGATGCGATTTTGTCCAGATGACCCCATTATCCGGTTAAGTGGAATTTGGATAATTGAGTTCGTACAGTACTACCTAAATAGGTGGATGGGCAGTTTTAACAATATTAGAAGGATTTTTTTTCTGTTCTTGAGCATCAAAGGGTTCTCAATTATAAACATGTGTGCAGCCATGGGGTTAACTTTGCTATGTAAGTTGAATGATTATTTAAACTAGTAAACTGTGCCCGTTTGCCCATTTAAGGCTAATTATATCATTACCTATAAAATTATTCAAGTTTGTAATACAATCTTATACCATACATGAATCCTGCAAAGGTTTATAACATGATGTCATGTCAACAATTTATTCAATAAAAATTTAACTTTAGTAATTTGTAAATCCATGTACATTTGATTATGCATAAATTTAATATGTAATATAATTAACCCCAATTTTGAAACTCAATTTCCATCAGACAGACATATGTAATATATAAAGCAAGCTCGATGAAATTCTTTGGTGTAAATTTAATTCATACCTGAACTGTGAAGTTAGCTGTAATCTGGTTAGCAGCAGCATATAGAATGGGAATAAGATGCTCTCTTTGTTCTCCAAGGCATTTCAGCCGTTTCTGAGGGGCATATATTATCACAGAAGAACCTGAAGGGGAGAAGTAGCTCTTGAGTTCATGGTTGTAGATGGAATCATACATGATGTGACGCCAGCTTGATGATGGAGATCGAATGGAAATATATTCAGTGGCTTTGATCTGAAAGCAAAGACAAAATAAAACAATATATCTTATTATTAAAGTCACATGGTACCACATGAGAGACTGGCAAGGAAATTTCAGGCACATGAAATAAATAGGAGAATACTGGAATGGATAAAACAATGGTTAAAACAGAAAACAAAGAGTCATGCTAAATGGGAATGACTGACTGGGAAAGCACACTGAAAGAGGCCTGCCTTGTCAAACCCGAACCCCCCGAAGGAGGAGGGTCCACCCAACGCCACCGCAGGCCGCTCGAAACGACCCAAAGCCCCACAAATCGTGGGTCCAGGAATGAGCAGAGAGAGCTTCTTCCTCCCCCCATCGCCTTGTCAATGAGACGAACCGCAAAAGGGCTGACGCCCCTTATGAGAACCCGACCTTTGCACAGAGCGATCAACAGGCAGACCTAACGAAGATGGCTCTGAAGGCTGTGCCGGCCCCGAAACTGGCACCACTGGCCTATCCTGACGGAAGGAATCCCGAGCCCTGCCACGATCCTTCCGGGAAGAGCCCCCAAATGCCCCCCCCCCCCCGGAGAACCAAAAAATCCGACATTGGACGACAACTGAAAGAAGCTACCTGCAGATACTGCCCAACCGCAGTGTCTGCAAACAGCAAGGGACAAAAAGGCAACGAAAACATAAGAACCAAGGCCCAAGCAGATTCCAAGGAGGATGCGAGCACTGCCTGCCGACACATAAAACGAGAAGCAAAGAACAGAGACACCAAACCCACAGAATTGGTGTAAACAGCTTCAACAGGGTAGACAACGCATGCACCGCCTAGGCCAAGGCACCAGACCCAGGAACGGCCCCCAAGCATCTCCACATCTTACACAAGCCAATTCCAGGACAAATCCAGGAGGGAAAAGAAATGCAAGACCGGAACCCACAGGCCATGAGTGCACAAATCTTTAGCAACTAGGGCAGCCGAAAGGGTGGGAACCTGCACATGAAGCTGCACGATGCCAACATCCCGAGGAAGGGCAGGGGTCGAACAAGCATGCTTTGAGGTGCTCAAACTCGCCCCCCAGGTAAACCTGGACCACCGTCAAAGCATCACTCCAGTCAAGTCAAGCGTGTGGGAACGACAGAACTTATGCCAAGCCTCCAATGAAAAAACAAGAGCAGTTCGCAAGCCAAAACGACTCCAGGACCTCATAACGAACCCAGTAAGGAAACGAAGATCCAAAACTGAATAAAGATGAATCCATTAAAGAGGCATAATCTGGGTCGCGCAATGACACTTCCCACACCTCATGAGGCGGGATGCAAGAAGCAGAAAAACTCTGGAAGAACGGAGCCGACAGACCCGAAGGGACACGGAACCGAACCCCGGGAGGGGCCGACACCAAATCCAACTCGTATGTGGAGGGGGTGGGGGGGACGGAAAACCTATTCCCTGTAAAAACAAGCCCCTGCTTAGAGGGTACAAAAACCCAAGCAGGATCCAACAGGGCCCAAGGCCCCCCAAGTCAACCCCTCCCCAGCCCCAGGAACCCCCAACTGCAGGACCTGGGGCCGATCGAGCCATTCCCCAAAGCCCTAGCCTCAAAAGAAGAAGCTGGAGCTGCCAGAAAAGCAGGAAGGAAGGGGGCCGACTGATAAGACCCAGACACTGGAATCTAGCTCATATGGCTTGGCAGGAGAAACTGGCTAGAAGGCCTTCGTCGCCAACCCGGAAGGGGCATCCCCTGAGACTGCCCAAGTTTCGAAACCAACTGAACCCTGCTCCGACTCCAAAACCCTCAGACATTTCGGAGCCGGAAGCAAAAGGGGGAGGACCAGGACAAACCACATCAGGGGAAGCACAAGGGAGTGCTGGCTGAACCAAAGTCGAAACAACTAACACCCCCAAGTCCGGGTCCCTATAACTAAAACGGGACAGCCTCGGGGCTTCCGGTTCAGCAACCAACCTAGCACGCTGTAGCAACCTAAAACGAGCGTGCAATGCCTGAGCTGCCTGCACTCGAATAGAGTCATCAGTGAACTGGGTGTACTGAGTCACAAACAAGCAACAAGACTTGCCGCACTCCGGGTCGAAGGAGTCACCGACCCAACAGGCAGCATGATGGAGGCATAAACGATGAGGGGTCACTCGGAGACAAGGGAAATGAGCAACCCTCAAACTCGCACAAGGATATGGAGGACCCAAGGGTCACATCCATCGGACCCATGCACCCCCACGGGATTTCCCAGGGTCGTGACATGGAACTCACGGTCAGGAAAGCCCAGACAGGGATACTGTTAACTGGCGCCCAATATTACCAACAAATTGCTAATGCTGTACCCCCGGGACATGTACACTCACGAGAGCCTAGTGGGGGACCACCAAGATACAAGAGGGTGAGACCAAAACCAAGGGGCAGACCCCCACCAGGCAAGAAAAGAAAAACAACAGAAAATAACCCACAAGAAGACAACGTACCCAACCGGAACAGAGCCAGCCACTATGAGAGGTGACAACTAGCTGCACAATACCCTGCGCCCCAACCAGTGACGAATACTACCCCCACCCAGAGGCAAACAGAAGTGAATGAAACACCCCAACTGACTCCAAGGGCAGCCATTCACCGAGCAGCAAAGGACATTACAGAGATAGACCCCCAAGGTGACTTGTGGAAGATGGCCCCAAGCCCCAAGGGCAGTATATTTACTGGGCACCCAGGGAAGGGAACCCCCTAGGCGCATGCAACCTGCTATGAGTACTTGTGAGATTACTCCTGGCTCACACACCACCAAGTGTGTGTGCCAGGAGAACAGCCCCGGTCCATAAGGCAGAGCTGTAGGACAGAAAACAGTAGCCCGAGTCACACGACCGTTGCCAATCACATCAGTCACAGAATTGAGGGGTGGATAGCCAGCGTTAGGAGCTGGGACTCCCCCTTTCCCCTCCCGGGGAGCTAAGGGGGGGGGGGGAATATACAGTCAGCGACATGGTGACGTCGTGCTTGTTTGTTCGTTTTCATTTGGGGAGTTCTGTCCACTAGTTCGGCTTCCAGTAGCAATATTTTAACCAGAATAGGGGCTTGTTTTGGGGCACTTACCTTTCTGGGTGTCTGACCCGGTTGATGGCAAACATGGAATGCTTCCAACCACATGGGGGTTTCTATAAGCCATTGCTCCTCGTGCCTCTTTGAGGGGAAGCTAGGCTCTGGCTCGTGGTCCTCGGTAGGAAGCATTCTATGTGTCATTGACTGGGTCAGGTACCCAGAAAGGTAGGCACCCCAAAACAAAACCTATCTGATTAAAGTATTGCTACTGAATACCAAACTGTTGGAAAGAACTCCCCCAAACGAAAAAGGAGCAAACCAGGACGACGTCACAACCATCACTGCGCCGCTGTCTGTGCAGCTTCAACCTCCCCTGGAGGAGGGATGGAGGAACCTAGGTCCCCTGCACCTGCTATCCACACCTTCAGTTCAATGGCTGATGTGAGACCTGGCGGTCGTGCGACTCTGGCTCCGAATCTTTTTCCAGTGCTGTGCTTAGTCGTGTAGTTTTGTCCAAATGGTGGTGTGCGAGCCAGTAGTAGTTTCACCTGTACTTGGACTGCATGCGCCTAGGGTTACCTTCCCTAGGAGACCTGTAAGTACTGTCATTGTGGCTTGCAGTTATCTTCCACATATCACTTGGGGGGCTACCTTTACTGAGGTCTTTTGCTGCTCAGTGCTTGCTCGCCCTTGAGGTCAGCTAGGATGTTTCATGCATCATTGTTTGTCTCTGGGTAGAAGGTAGTTTCGTCACTGGTAGGGGTGCAAGGTACTGTGTAGCTTGTTTTCACCATAATACAGTTGCCGGCTCTGTTCCGCCTGGGTCGTTGTGTTCTTGCGGAGTTTTTATTTTGTTTTTGCTGTCTTGGGGGGGGGGGTCTGCCCCTTGGTATTGCCCCCCAACTGCCCCTTGGTTGCTCACCTGGATGCCCCTAGGCTGCCTCATTTTGGTTATATGGATCCTAAGCGTCTAGGTTTCAGAGTCGGGGCAGGGTTTAGTTGGTGGTAAGACTCTGGCAGTTTTGGGGGATATCCCATCCTGTGTGGTGATGGAGCCATTCGAGCCGTCTTCTAGCCAGTGCTTCTGGGTCTGACCTGTGGGCCCCCTTCGTTCCAGCTTTTCCAGCAGATTCTGCTTTTTCTTTTGAGGCGGAGGGTTTAGAGGACGGCTCAGCCTTGGGTCCTGATATGCAGGTTCCTGGGGTGGGGCAGGGGCTGACTTGGGGGGCTTAGGCCCCGTTTGAACCCACTTTTGGTACCCCTCTGAGCGGGGCTTGTTGTTACAAGGGGTGAGGTTTTCTTATCCTCCCCCCCCCCCCTCCTTTTACGAGTTTGTTATGGCATCAACCCCTCCCCAGGTTCGGTTCTGGGTTCCCTTAGTTACTTCGGTCGTGTCTTTCTGGAGGTTTTCGGACTCCCGGTTCCCAGCTCATGAGGTGCAAGAGTACATTGTGGCATATCTCCTGCACGACCCGGTTTAGGCCTCAATAATTTATCCTGCCTCTTTTAAGTTCGGTTCTTCTTTTCCTTACTGGGTGCGTTACGATGTTCCGGAGTTGTCCTGGTTGACAGATTGTCCTATCTTTCCGTTGGGGCGTGGCATACTTTCTGTAGGTCCCACACGCTTGAGTGGCGAGAGGCCCTTACGGTTGTTCAGGTTTACCTGGGCGGCGAGTTTGAGTGCCTCAGTGCATGTTTGTTGTCCCCTGCCCTTCCTCTGGATGTCGGCCTGGTACAGCTTCACATGTAGGTTCCTTCCCTTTCAGCTGCCCTGGTTGCTGAGGACTTGCACGCCCATTGTCATTTGGCTTCGGTCTTGCATTTCTTTTTCCATTCTCAAGCTGTCTTCGGATTGGCTTGAGGAGGACTTAGAGGCGCTCGGTGCCGATCCTGGGTCTGGTGTGCTAATTTCGGCAGTGTCAGCATTGGCATCCCCTGTTGAAGCTGTTTGCGCTGGTCCTGCAGGAGACAATGTCTCTGTTCTTTTCTTCTCGTCTTGCGTGTCCGCAGGTAGTGCTCGCTCAGTCCTTGCAATCCATTTGGGTCCGGGCTCTTAGGTTATCTACGTCTTTTTGTCCTTTGCTGTTTGCAGTCTGTGGTGGTGTGGTATCTGCAGGCGGCTTCTTGTAGTTGTCATCCCATGTCGGACTTGTTGGTTCTCTGGGGGCCCATTGGGGGTCTTCCCAGAAGGGTTGTGCCAGGGGCTCGAGGTTCCTCCCATCGTAGTAGGCTAGTGGTGCCAGTTCTGGAGCCAGCGCAGCTTTCGGAACCAAACACGATTGGTCGGCGCAGTGATCGCTCTGCTCGTAAGTCGCTTCTCATAAGAGGCGTTAGCCCTTTTGCAGTTCGTCCCATTGGCGGGGCAATGAGGGGAGGAACTTGCGCTGTTTGCTCATGCCTGGTCTCCCAATTTGTGGTCTTTTTGGTCGTTTTTGCGGCCTGCAGTGGCGTTGGGTCACCACTCCTCCTTTGGGGGATACGGGGCTGGCGAGCAGGCTTCTTCTCCTGCTCTCTGTTGGGTTATCTTGGAATGAGTTCGCTTGGGTGTGGGTTGAAAAATCCTCATCTCTCAGGTGGTTTCCTGCCTGTTTCTGGTTCTGGAACGGGACTGCATGGACCTACGGTTCATTCTGGACTTGTTCAGTCTGAACTCCTAGGTCTATTGCCCCTCCATTTGGATGACTACGTTGTCCCCAGGTACGGCTTCTTTTGGAGTCAGGCACTTGGATGGTGTCTCTGGACCTCTGGAATATTGGTATGTCGTGATTCATCCAGGGTTCAGGAACTCGCTCGATTTTGTTGTGGGGGTCAGGCTTACACTTTCCTTGCCTTCCATTCGGCATGAATCTGGCACCACACATTTTCACACGCCTTACCCGGGACGTGGTGGCCCGTCTGCGTCTCTTAGATGTTCGGGTTCTAGCCTACCTCGATGACTGGCTGGTGTGGGGAGTTTGAACTTTGCTGTGTTGGTCTACCCGCCGGGTCGGGTTTGACTTCATCGGCTGTTCTAGTTCCATCGGGGACTCCCCTTCTGCCTCTCTCGCAATCGCTGGGTTCAGCCTCCAGGTGCCTTACATCAGCTGCTGCGTCAGCGAATTTCTCTTCGGGTTTTTCGGAGTTCAGTGCCTTGGCACCTACCCGAGCCCTCGCTCGATGTGTTTGCAAACGAGTTATCTCTTGGCCGAGGCTTTGTCACCAGTGCTCACCATTGCCTGGTGACCAGCCTGGTGGCCAGGCTGGCCAGGGGTAGCGAGGTCCACCCTTTTGTCGGGCCCACAGCATGGTGTGAGAGTTCGCAGCCATGTGGATGTCGCTCCGGAAGGTTCGGGTCACTCGAATGGAGCTGGATCGATGATTCAGCTCCATTTGGATTGCTCCCTAGTGGTTTATTGCCTGATCTGCGGGGGTTCGATGCGGTCGTTAGCTCTTCGGGGCTAGTCCCTTTGGGGGACTCATCTGTAGAGTTCTCGGGTTTTGGCTCTCCAAGCCGTTCTCATATGGAAAGTTGTCCAACGTCCTGGCAGACAGCCTAACATGGTTCATTCCCATCCACTACAGGCTCACCATAGCCCGTGCTACTTGGAACTTTTTGTTCCAGGTAGCGAATCTTAAACAACAAATAAAACGGTTCATTCCCCTGTCCACGGAATGGACATTCAGCGCCGTTTCGTTCAGTTGGCTCTGATGAATGTACAGGTTCCCAGAGGTGGACCTCTTTGCATCAGCGGTATTTATGACGCCCTTCTCCAACTTCAAGGCCATCAGGGTTGATGGCTTCAGTGAGGATTGGTCGAGGTGGGGTTACCTGTACCTCTTACCCCAGTTCGCCTGTTGCTCCAGGTCCTAGCTCGCTTGGAGACTTTCCAAGGGAGAGTAGTCCTCTTGGCTCCTTGTGGCAGGCACAGCCTTGGTTTCAGGCACTGCTTGCTCGGTGCCCGAACCCGAAGGTCTTCTCGCGGCTCTGCAGATTTCAGCAGATCGGGCCAGTCCGTTACATAGCTGGTTCGATCTTCTCCTCAAATTTTCGTGTCTGGTGTTTCGTGTAATAGACACAGATCTATTACCAATTGTATAGTGGGCAGGTGGCTTCATTGATGATGTCCCACCTGCGTGTTTCGTCTCCGCGGCAGTATGAAGTTTCCTGGCAGTCCTTTCATTATTTCTTGTCCCTTCATAGGTTTTCTTCTGTTTTGGATCGGGTTGTCTTGTCCTTCCTATCTTGGTTGTTTCAGGACCATCAACTTATGCCGAATACTGTCACCTCGTATTGTGCAGCTCTGGCAGAGCCGCTTCAGCTTGCATTCTGGGTGGATATTACTTCTGCCCCGTTCCACAAGCTGTCTCGTGCATTGTTTCACCTCTGGCCTGCTCATGCTCTGCCTGAGCCGTCCTGGCCATTGGGCTGGGTGCTCTATTTGCTCTCTTCTCTTAGGTTTTTTTTGTGGCACCTTCAGTTCAAGATTGTTTCTCCAAGATTCTTTTCCTATTGGCAATGGCCTCTTAGGGTCGGGTTGTGGAGCTTCATGCTCTCCTCCAGCGCAGAGGTTTCTGCCCTTTTGGTCTTGGTGGTAGGTTTGTTTCATTGCAGCCATCTCCTTTTCTGGCGAAGAATGAGACTGCTGCTTTCCTGAGAGGCCCTTGGATTGTTGACACTTGGTTGGTTTGGCCTGGGGTGCATCGTGTGTTGTGTCCAGTTGTGGCTCTTCACCCTTACCTGTGCACCACGGCCTCGGTGGCGAGTTGAAGACGGAGTAGCGACCGCCTCCTGGGTAAGTCCCTCTTGTTTTATTTTTGGTTAAGGAGCTCTGGGGAGACGAGAGACTTCTCCCCAGAAAACGGGCATTGAATGTAATGAAACGCCATTTTTTAGGTGAGACCTAGAGGCTTCCCAGCAACCCTCCCTCCCTCCCTCTCTTCGGCGGTTTTTCGCTGGTTTCTGACATCCAGCCTCAGAACTGACGATGTGGATGGCTGGTGCGGGGATTTGGGGCGCCCTCTTCCCCCTCCCAGGGAAGGGCAGAGCTTCAGACAGCGGCGCAGTGACTATTGGGACATCATGCTCGTTTTTCGTTTTGGTGAGTTCTGTCCAACAGATTGACTTTCAGTAGCAATATTTTATCTAGATAGGGTTTGTTTTGGGGCGCCTCCTCTCGCCTCTGTCGTGCTTTAACTTTTACCCCTCCTGCAGTTTCTGTTCCTCTTCACCACCTCCCTCTTCCTGTCTGGTTATCTCGCTTACAGGATACTCTTTCAGTTCATATTTTTAATATTTCTACTCGTGTTGTTCCTTCTTTGCCCCCATGGAGAGTCCCCATTCCGCAGTTTTGTACATCCTTAACACGCATCACTAAAGCATTTACCCCTCCTACGGTTCTAAAAAGCCTTTTCCTCGAGCACTTTTCTTCTCACTCCCGCTCCGTTTCCGTCTTCACCGATGGGTCTAAGTCTGCGGACGGTACTACTCTGTCGTTTTTCCGGATTGCACTTATATGTGTCGCTTACCTCTGGAGACTAGCACCTTCACAGCGGAACTTTATGCTATTCTCTATGCTCTTTGTCTCCTGCTTTCTCGTTGTCAATCTTCCTTTGTAGTTGTTGTTGACTCTCGTAGTGCCCTCATGGCTCTCGGATCCTTTAATCCGGTTCATCCAGTGGTTGTCGAGATCCAGCATTGGCCGTTTCTTATTCACAGTAAATTTAAGTCGGTTGAGTTTTGTTGGATTCCTAGCCATATTAGTGTCTCTTTAAATGAGCGTGCGGATGCTGCCACCAGGGAAGCTGTCTGCTCTTATCCCATCTCTCGTAAAGGTATTCCTTATTCCGACTTTTACTCGGTTATCCATTCCTCCATCCTTACCTGTTGGCAGGCTTATTGGTCGTCTGTAACTGGTAACAAACTGCGTACTCTTAAGAGTTGTGTGCCCTTGTGGCTGTACTCCTACCACAGTAACCGGCGATGGGAAATGGCTCTGGTGAGGTTGCGTATTGGCCATACTTGCTTAACTCACGGTCAATTAATGGAGCGCCACCCTGCTCCTCATTGTCCTCATTGCATTGTCCCTCATACAGTCGAGCATATTCTTGTTGAATGTCCTGACTTCCAGGACGAGTATGTGTCTTGTTTTCCGACCGTCCCTCACGGTCACTTGTCCCTCGATAGTATTCTTGGTGACTTGGATACTTTTGATATTGTTCGCCTTATGCGTTTCTGTTCTCGTATTGGTATCCTTGGTGATATTTAGCGCCCTCTGATTATCCTGCGCATTTGATGGTGCTACATAGCCTTCCTGGTTTGGTGCCTTCTTTTGATAATTACTTACTTTGGGGCGAATACCTTTCTGGGTGTCTGACCCGGTCGATGGCAGACATAGAATGCTGCCAACCACATGGAGAGTTTCTATAGAGCATTGCTCATCGTACCCATCTGAAGGGGCCAGGTTCTGACTCGTGGTCCCCGGAAAGCATAAGAATTCAATCCTCTTTGACTGATGCCAGGGTATAATGCATTCATATCAGCCCGTATAGCTTCGGGGAGACTCCAGGTTTCGCCCAAAAAATGGCATTTTATTACATTCAATGCTGTTTTTTTTAACATTTTCCTTTAAATTTTGCCTTAAGTTCCCTACTAATCATGATATCAAGATCTCCTCATTCGGATTTGGCAATTTTTAACATCAAACTGATATCTAGTAACTATTGGAATGTCCTAGCCTTTGAATCATTTGTCAGCAATGAAGAATTCTCAGAAGTCATACTAGTTACTAAATATCACCTGGACATTTTAAAATTGCCAAATAATTTTTTTCTCCATTTCATGTTTAACCCTAACTCCTTCTTATAACTTGCCACAGCAATAAATTATCTGATTTAAACACCTAGTAGCTAGCTTTTATCTTTATCAAGGGTAAGCGAACAAGATTTACCGTGACATGGTTTCCTGTAGCATTTTGATAGATGAACTCGACAATACCCCTTGGAGATGTAAGTAGAGACTTGCATTGTCCTCCAGCACACACTTGCATGCGAGATCCTCCAGCAGGACTTCCATCTGGAAAAGTTGCCTTAACCTGTCAACATAACTGTTATTATTGTATGAGCAAGATACCTTGTTAAGTGAGAAAAAACTTGGCAAGTGATTTTAGCTAATGAAAAATGTATATAAACGATAAAAGGAAGAAGTGACGGGTGAAGAAGAGGTGGAGGATGAAACAGGTTCTTAACCCATGGACGGCACAGCTATTAATAGCTGCGTATTAACACCACTGTGTGCAAGAAAAAAAATCAAATTTTATTTTTTTTTCCTTCTAAGATTGTTAAAATGTGATCCCTAACCCTTAAAAGGCGCAGTACATATATATAGCTGGGGTGAGTAACTATTGCGAGACTGTGCACCACAGCTATGTATGGTTGGGAGTACCGCATAAGATTAAACAGTCCCACGGCCACGTGGGGTCCACATCAGCTTCCTCAGGGGCTCTGGTAAACAGACGCGATTTTTGAAAGAAATTGTGGGCAACGTTCCCGGGTGTGAGCGCCTCAGTACTGAGTGAGCCTTCAAGGCTGGCACATGCAGCATGAGCTGACAGCACTGCTGTTCACCTTGTGACCACAGCATTGCCTAAAACTATCAAAATATATATGTAACTAGCATTTAGTCATGATAGTACAGAAGACCCTGACTATGATAAAAGACTGTATACAATGTTCAGATATCGGTCAACACAATGCTGTTCAAGATATTCACAGCACTAGCCACAGCACACACCTAACACAGCCATTGTTTCGTCAATCTAAGAATCTTCAAACGATTTCTCATGTTCCTTTACAAAATAAATTTGTGGAAAATTATTCATTTACAGGATTTAGTGACCAGGATTCTGATAATAGCAGCATTGCGGCGAGATTTAGTGATGTGTGTAGTATGGTGGGAGGAGGGAGAGGTGGCATCGTCTGCTGACTCTGTGGCACCCTGTTATTGTCGAGACTCACCATACTAGCTTAGGGGTTCGCTATGGTGAACACAAATGTAGATACTTATATTCAACATGTGTGTATAATGTAATAACAGCAAAATGAAAATGTTGAGAGGAGCCATTTTGGTGAGGGAGGTGCTGGTAAGGGAGGGGGTAGCATCTGCTGGCAGCTGTCACTTGCCATGCAGATTTTTGTGGCCACAGTGTTGTTTGGACACCATACTACCTTAGTTGTACAGTTATGGTGAACAAACATGTAGATACTTATATATATAATGTGTGGGTATATAGTGTAAAAAAAACACAAACAGTATTGTGGGAGTAGGAATGTTGGCGAGTAAGGTGTTGAAGGAGGAAGGGAGGGCTGGGTGTACCAGTCCACTCTTGTTGTTCGGACTCACCATACCAACTTAGTGGTTCGCTATGGTGAACAAAGCTTGCAGATACTTATATATAACGTATGCATATATAGTGTAATAACAAAAATTATTTTGTTATTATAAATAACTTGTAATAAAAACAAGCAAAACTATTTGTTTATTGTTTTATGAACATAATAATGGAATCACTAATATGCACACCATACTTTTGAGTGTAGCGATGGTTCAAACATTTTATTATATATAAATATAACACACTACACACTATGTAATAATATTACTGCAAAAAAACAGCGTTGAATGTAATGACTTGGTAATGACAGCGTTGGAATGTAATGACCCACATGAAGTTCTAGGCCTACCAGGGTCCACGAGCCAGTACCTGGCCCCCCATCAGAGAGGCACGAGAAACAATGAACAATAGTCAGCACTGGTCACAAAGCCCGAGAGACGACGCGTCTGTGAACACATCGAGCGAGGGGCTCAGTTAGGCCCCAAGGCACTGAATCCTGAGAAACCTGAAGAGGAAGCCGGTGGCGCAGCAAGGCATCCGCAGGCCGAATCCAGCAATCGTAAGATAGGCGAAAGGGCCGTCTCAAAGGAACCAGAACAACCGATGAAACCAAACCTGACTCAGCGGGTAGACCATCACGGCAAAGTTCAGGCTCCTGCACAACAGGCGGGAAAGCCACCTGAGGGACGGGATCGTTTCGACGCCCAAGCGAATCCACTCCAAGATGACCCAACATAGGGCAGGAGAAGAGGCCTGCCCCACCAGTCCCAAACCCCCTGATGGAAGAAGGGACACCTAACGCCACCACAAGCCGCACGATATGACCTGAAAAGTCCACAAATCGTGGGACCAGGTGTGAGCAAACAGCGTAAGCCTGCCCCCCTCTCCCCATCAATGGGACAAGCCGCGAAAAGGGTGTATGCCTCTTACTTGAACCCGAACTCCACACCGAGCGATCACCATGCCGATCAGATGAAGACAGTTCCGGAGGCTGGGCCGGCTCCAAAACTAGCCCCATTGGCCTATGATGACAGGAAAAACCTCGAGCCCTGGCACGACCCTTCCAGGAAGACCATCCCACTGACCCCCCGGAGAACCAATAAGTCCGACATGGGAAGACAATTGAAAGAAACTGTCTGCAGATACTGCACCACCATAGACTCTGCAAACAGCAAAGGACAAAAAGGCGAAAAAACAGAGCCAGGGCTCAAGCGAATTCCACGGAGGTAGCAAGTACCGCCTGCTGACACGCAAGACAAAAATAAAAAAACAGCGACACCACATCCCACAGTATCAGTGCACACACCTTCAAAATAGCAGATGATGCATGTATTGCCGAGACCAATGCACCAGACCCAGGATCGACCCCAAGCGCCTCCACATCCTCCTCAAGCCAGTCCGAGGACAGTTCAAGAAGGGAAAAGAACCGCAAAACCGACACCAACAGGCCACGGGTGCGCAAGTCCTCAGCGACCAGGGCAGACGAGGGGATAGAACCTGCATGTGAAGCTGCACAATGCCAACATCCCGAGGACTCATTGAGATGCTTAAACTTGTCCCCGAGAAAAACCTGCACCGTATGAGCCTTGCGCCACTCAAGCACGCGGGACCAATAGAACGTATGCCATGCCTCCAACGAGAAAAAGGGGCAGCGAGCAAGCCAGGATGACTCTGGAACCTCATAACGAACCCAGTAAGGAAAATATGATCAAAACAAGAAACAAAGATCCATTATTGAGGCGTAATCCAGGTCACGCAGGAGGTAAGCCGCAATAGCCTCCTGCACCACATGAGGCAGGATGCGAAAAGTCAAAAACCTCCAGAAAGACGGGACCAAAGAACCCAAGGGAGCACAGAACCGAACGCAAGGAGGGATTGACTCCAAATACAACTCATACGAGGCCGGAGGAAAAGAAAACTCACACATACACAGATCACACTAACGTGATGCATCAAATGAACAAATCCACAAGGGCCATGACGAGGATTCGAACCTGCGTCCAGGAGCATCCCAGACACTGCCTTAATCGACTGAGCTACGACAGGGAAAAGGGTTGAAACCGAAGTTCTACTGAACTTACTGGATCCCGTAGCCTCTCCGAGGCACAAACCAGGCTTTTACACAACCCCCCCCCCCTGCACCCGAGCTAGGTCAATAGGCTGTTCTCCCTCTTCGCCCTTACATCATCACACACAGAGATCACACTAACGTGATGCATCAAATGAACAAATCCACAAGGGCCGTGACAAGGATTCGAACCTGCGTCCGGGAGCATCCCACGTTAGTGTGATCTCTGTGTGTGATGATGTAAGGGCGAAGAGGGAGAACGGCCTATTGACCTAGCTCGGGTGCAGGGGGGGGGTTGTGTAAAAGCCTGGTTTGTGCCTCGGAGAGGCTACGGGATCCAGTAAGTTCAGTAGAACTTCGGTTTCAACCCTTTTCCCTGTCGTAGCTCAGTCGATTAAGGCAGTGTCTGGGATGCTCCCAGACGCAGGTTCGAATCCTCGTCACGGCCCTTGTGGATTTGTTCATTTAAAAGAAATCACCACCCCCTGTAACAGTAAGCCCCGCTCAGAGGGTACAAAAACCCAAGTGGGGTCCAATGGGGTCTAAGGCCCCCCAAGTCACCCCCTTCCCCGCACCGGGAACCTCCCCCATGAGGACCCAGGGCCGAGCCATCCTCCAAATCTCCTGCCTCAAAAGAAGAGGCAGGAGCAGCCGAAAAAGCAGGAACGAAGGGGTCACTGGTCATACCCAGAAGCTCCGGTTGGAGGAACATGCTCGAATGCCTCCGTCGCCACACCGAAAGGGTCATTCCCCGAAACTGCCAGAGTCTCAACACCAGCTAAACCCTGCCCCGACCCCGAAACCCTCAAAAGCTTCGGAGCCCGAAGCAGGGGTGGAGGACCAGGACGAACAATAGAAGAGGAAGGACAAGGGGGAGTGGACTGAATCAAAGTCGAAGTGAATAACACCCCCAAGTCCGGGTCCCTATAACCAAAACGTGGCAGTCTCGGGGCATCCGGGGTAGCAACCAACCTAGTGTGTTGCAGCAACCTAAACCGAGCATGCAACGCCGAAGCTGCCTACACCCAAATATCATGATCAGTGGACTGGGTGTATTGGAGTACAAACAAGGAACAAAACTTGCAGGACTCCAGGATGAAGGTGTCACCGACCCAACAAGCAGCATGACAGAGACATGGAGACAGAGCATCCTTCAAACTCGCATGTAACAAGAGGGGACCCAGGGGTCGCATCCATCAGACCAAAGTGCCCCCGCAGGATTTTCCAGGGCCCTTAGTCGCATAAATTCTCTAAGGGAAGCCTAGGCAGGATACTGCTAACTGGCGCCCAAAGTTACGAATGAAACTGCAAAAGCTGAACACCCCCCCCCCCTCCCCCCGGGAAGTGAAGACTCACGGGGGTCTAGTGGAGGACCACCAAGATATAAATGGGTGTGACCAAAACCAAGGGGGCAAAGGTTTTTCTTTTGTTTGTGTTGGACAAAAACAAAAACCCCGCAAGAGGACAACGCACCCAGGTGGAACAGAGCCGGAGAGGTGAAAACTAGCTGCACAATACCCTGCGCCCCAACCAGTGATGAAACTACCCCCTACCCAGCATCGAAAACTACTCCCTACCCAGAGGCAAACATGGGAGAAATAACTACTCCCAGTTGACTCCAAGGGTAGTCAATCACTGAGCGGCAAAAGACATAGCTCAGGTAGATCCCAAAGAGACTTGTGGAAGATAACTCCAAGCCCCCAAGGGCAGTACTTACAAGGTACCTAGGGAAGGCAACCCTAGGCGCATGCGGCTCGAGTACTGAAGAAATTACTCCTGGCTCGCACACCTCTGAAGAGACAACGCCACACCACAAGGCACAGAACTGAAATATGGTGGAGCCAGAGGCACATGACCCTGCCAGTGTCACATCAGCCACAGAACTGCAGAGTGGATAGCTGGCGGGAAGATCTAGGGCTCCCTCCCTCCCTCCCCCTCCCGGGCAGAGGGGATTACGTAGACGATATCGCGGTAACGTGGTGACGTCGTGCTCGTTTGCTCATTTTCATTTGGGGAGTTCTGTCTACTAGTTCGGCTTTCAGTAGTAATATTTTTACCAGAATAGGGGATTTGTTTTGGGGCGCCTACCTTTCTGGTGCCTGACCCGGTCGATGGCAGACAGAATACTTCCAACCACACGGGGGTTTCTATAGGCCATTGCTCCTCATGCCTCTCTGAGGGAGGCCCAGGTTCTGGCTCGTGGTCCCTGGTAGGCCTAGAACTCCATGCACTTGACTGATGCCAGGGTCTAATACATTCATATCAGCCCGGATAGCTCAGGGGACCCGACAGGGCTCCCCCCAGAAATAATATTTTAACCAGACAGATCACACTCATTAGTAGCAAGCTAGTATTAATGCTGTAAATACTATTGCTATTACTCGCATTCATTTAGTTTCCAATACATATACCTGTACAGTATATACAGCATAATAATAATAGAGATATATGACAAAGTATTATCAATGTTTAAAATGTTGCTGATAATTAAACAACTAAAGGCAAGTATTATAGTGAACACTCATTATAAACTCAACGAACCCGTCCAGTGAAGGGAAGATTAGGCTTGACGAAGTCTTCCTTCCCCACATATGTGTAGGTTATTGCATTACGGTGAACGGTAACTCTTACATCTGCTTTGAACTCTTCTCCAGTTCCATCTTCCACCACAGTGGCTGCCACATCCAAATTATAAGCATGGAAATGTTCTCCATTCAGTTGCACAGACTCTGCTAAAATTTCAAGATCTTTGCAGCCAAAAACCTGTAAATATTATTTATTGATTATTACACAGATGGCATGCCAATAATGCCTCAGTCTGAGGCCTCAGTAACGTACACAAATTGTCCAACAGCAGTTTGTTTTGAGAACAGGACTATATACACTGAGAAGTATATCACGTTTTTCTCTGTATACACCAAGTTTACTTTAGTTCTGGACTATGTTCAGGACTAAAATATACTTTCTGATTGGCCAGTAAACTCTTGTGGTGGCTTTAGAAACCACTTGGCAGTTGATTGGCCTAAAGCCCAACATCAAATCAAAATCTGGTTTAATTGTAAATATAATATATATATAATAGGGGGATACCTGGCATTGCCTGGGTCTGTTTGTCTGTCCCCCATCTGTCCATCCACCTATCTATTTATCCTTTCATCTATTTCTCCATCTATCCATCCACCCATCTATCCAACTATCTGTCCATCCATAGAGTGGCCACTATGCTGTTCGGGCATCATACCAGCTTAGTTCTGCAGTTATGGTGAATAAAACATGTAGATACTTATATATAATGTGTGTGTGTATATAATGTAATAATACCACAAACAGTATTGTTGGAGGAGAAATGTTAGTGCGTCTTGAATGAACCAGTGAGGGAGGCAGCCGCCAGCTGTGTGTGTAGCTACATCTCTTATTGCCTGAACTCACCACACCAGTTGAGCTGTACAGTTATGGTGAACAAAACATGTAGATACCTATATATAACGTCTGTATATAGGGAATAAAAGCAAAAACAGTATGGTGAGAGGAGGAATATGTTGGCGAATGAGTTGTTGAGGGAGGGAAGAAGGTGGCATTTGCTGGCTGGTGTGTGGCAGCCCACTCGTTGGTGTTTTCACTCCCCATATCAACTTAGTGATTCGTTATGGTGAACAAAACATGCAGATACTTATATATATCCTGTGTATATAGTGTAATAACAGCAAAACTATTTGTTTATTCTTTTATGAACATAATAATTGAATCACTAATATGCACACCATTCATTTAGTATAGCAATAATTCACTTCTTTTATTATATAAATATATCACACTACACACCACTGAATAATATTACTGCAAAAAAAATAAGAAAAAAATAAATCAGAAACATTGAAATAATTAGGTAATATCTCTGTGGCAACTCTCCTCTGACAGCTGTCGGGGTACGCGATGAGGGAAGTAACAGTATACAAGATATCCTAAGTACTTTATCCTGTCAACGGTCGTCAACGTCGGGGTGTCTCTCTCTCTACATGGACACCACCCAGTAGTATTAGTGATAACTGTTACTCACTGTAGCCCTGCGGGTCTTCACTCAATCCTCGCGGCGCCACTGTTCGCCAAGAGTATCCCAGTCGATCCCCAGCCAGCCTTGTAGCCAAAGAATGAGTGGGAACACAGTTTGTTCTCTCCCAACCGTGTGCCCGCCCCGACAAGGGCTCTACTACTAACTGCAAGGTCGCCAACTGGTGTTTCATGTGTCCAGTAACACGTCAGTGGTATTGTGGAATTGTGGTACTAATGGCAGAGCTCACTCATTAAATCTGGTCTCAGGCAGGTATATGTCTCTAATACTCTCTACTCTCACTCCTTGAAACTGTTCTGTAGCAACAAGATATATATGGAGGGATGATACAAACACAAAGGTATTTTGTATTTTACTTAAAAACTTCAAGGTATTATATTCGTATCAACAACCAAACATCAAGTACAATGCAGAAAGCCACTTTCTTCATAAAACTGGGGCTCACCTAGAGGGTAACACTCTCCCCCTCCTGTCAATGTCATAATCAGCTGAGCGGCCCCCCTCTCACCGTGTGAATGCTCCTGTACTTGTTTTCCTGGCGCTATGCGCTTTGTTTCTTTAAATTCGCAGGAATCACTATATTTGTCATCAACACAATATTTCTATAATGGCAAAAGAACGCAATGAATCACCACACTGATCTCAAGTTCAATAACTCATTTCAACAGCAATTAACATAATATTTCACTACAATAGCATAATGCACTGTACTTCATAATAATTACAATGAATGCAATTAACCACGGTACTGTTCTTAGATTCAGTAATTCCTCTCGAAGGCGATAACACAATTAATCACTGCACACATGGAAATGTTATTCATCACACCAACATATACATATAGATAAATTCATCGATATCAATAATAATAAGATAAATACTGGGCACACAGCCTAACACCAATAACTGGTACACTTATATATATATTCTCTGGCATAAGTTATCATATTAATGTCACATGAAAGAAATCATCAACGACACAATACATTCCTCAATAATTCCAGGTGCCTGCACACACCACACATATAAATATCGCGAGAGCTCTATACAGCCTCACTTTACACAACTGTGCCTTACTGTGACATAGACATAGGTGAGCCTTGCTCACGACATGAAAGATACTCTGGCTAAATATATAGCTGACTAAAGGGGAATTGGGAGGGAAACTAGAATCACCTACTTCCACCTCACTGATGTGGATTCGCCCTCCAGTGAGAGTTGAATTGTAGCTCCTGGTCTCGGCTCTCGCCTCGTTGTAGGGAACGCCCCCACACACACACACTGATGCGTTCTCCAGGAACCCAATCAACGTCCCAAAATAAACGCGTCGTCACAGTGCTCTGTCCTCCACAGGTCCGTGCTCCTCCACGTCTTGCAGGGTTGGAGTCGGTCTCCCGGCCGTCGACTTCTCCTCACAACTATGGCTGCCAACCTACTTCTCGGCTGCAGTCGTCCCGATTCCCAATTAGTTTTCTTCTTTCACTGCTTCCCGGTGGATTGGCCCAGCCGCTACGTCGTCACTGTGAAGCTATCAGACGTCACTGTCTTGACTTCACTCTGCACAGCACGTGACCCTGGAGCACTTGATGCTCAATATTCCGTCAATTCCCTCCTCGGTCCACACATGGAATGAAGGAAGACCTCTCGGCATACTTGCAGACAACGGGTGACGCATAAAATCCACGGGAGTGGGGTACAACTGTCAAATCTGACAGGACCAACCTTCGCACATCCGTCCACCTTGACATGTCGTGTCAGATTGGTTCCCTCACGGAGGATTGGCCCAGCCACTACGTCATCACCGGTGAAGCTGTCAGACGTCCCAGACGTCACTGCCTAGACTCCACTCTGGCACAACACCTATCCCTGGAGCACTTGTTGCTCAATATTCCGTCAATTCCTTCTCTGGTCCAACACATGAACGAAGGAAGCCCCACAGGTGCTGGCAGACCGCCGGTGATGCTTAAATCCTCCGGAGATGGGGTAAACTGTCAAACTGACAGGATCCCCTGTCAGGATCCCTCCTTGGGATCCCCTGACAGGATCCCTCCTTGGGATCCTGACAGGATCCCAAGGAGGTCCAACCTCCTTGGCGTGCTGTCTCAGACTGGTGGCGCCAAAGTGGCGCGATGACCAGACCTCCCCTGCCTTCGTGACGTCATACTTGCCAGGGGCGGTTTTCATTGGCTCCCTGTGCCACGTCACTGTCAGTGACCAATCTGGTGCCACTGACGTCACACAGTTTTGGCGGCAAAACGGAGGGGCCAGCGCCATATTGGCGTCCTAAAGGACCTATACCACAGGCCAAAATACTCTTCTTTTACGAATTTCTCGCCAACGCGAGAACACTACACTCTCCCACATATATCAAACTGATGCCCGCGACGTAGAAAACGCTCGGGTAAAGTGGATATGACTCTTACAGTAGGCATGGGAGAAATATAAGGGGGGAACACCGTCACACAGCTCAGGTGGAGCTGACCGCTTCCGTCGTGTACTCTGTCAATGCTTACATTTTGCCAGACTTCCTAGGCCTATTATCAAGGAAAAGAGCCTTGGAGAGACAATCCTGAACCGAAGGGGCCACTACAAACCGAGGAGAAGAGAGATAAGAGAACACCCTGTCCAACGACCAGGACGGCTCAGGCGGCGCATGAGCAAGCCAGAGGTGAAACAATGCCCAAGACAGCTTGCGAAACATCGCAGAAGTAACATCGATGCCGACAGCAAGCTGCAGTGGCTCCGCCAGTACCACACGATACGAGGCGACAGTATTCGGCATAAGATGATGGTCCTGAATGGGCCACGAGAGAAAGGACAAGACCACCTTAACAGAAAGCAAAGTATGCCTACGAAGAGACAACAAGAAATGGAAGGACCACCATGAAATCATACTGCTGCCGAGATGAAGCACGGAGGTGGGACACCATTAACGAAGCCATCTGATCACCATACAGATGGTGATAGACCAGAGTCAAAAACACCAAATGCGAAGACTATGAGAAGATCGAATCAGCCACGTAACGGACCAGACCGATCATCCGAAAGAGACGGAGCCGCAGGAAAAACCCATAAGTTCGGACATGGGTTTCGGCCCTGACTGAAGGCTACACCGGCCACTAAAGAGCCAAGAGGGCTAAAGCCATATTGACAAGTCATTCAAGTGGAACCACCTACAAGCATAATTCACCCATATACAGTATATCATTCATAAAAATTTGGGTGAACATTGACTGAAGCTTAACGACTTTATTAATTATGCAGATATGGTTACATAAAGACTGACGAGATGGCAATACAGACTATTACTGCCCATCGCTCAAGTCTAGGTAGAGGATGAATACAAAACAAAAGATACTATATATATATAAATATATATATATATATATATATATATATATATATATATATATATATATATATGCAGAATAACCACATATGAAAAATAGAAAATGCTTAACGCGTTTTCGGCTAATTCGCCTTCATCAGAGCAAAGTAGAATGATTCTACTTTGCTCTGATGAAGGCGAATTAGCCGAAAACGCGTTAAGCATTTTCTATTTTTCATATGTGGTTATTCTGCATACTTGGATCAGTGTTTTTGTGATCATTGTTGCATATATATATATATATATATATATATATATATATATATATATATATATATATATATATATATATATATATATATATATATATATATATATATATATATATATAATATATATATATTATATATATATTATATATATATATATATATATATATATATATATATATATATATATATATATATATATATATATATATATATATATATGTCGAACCTAGTAGCCAGAACGCACTTCTCTGCCTATTATGCAAGGCCCGATTTGCCTAATAAGCCAAGTTTTCATGAATTGTTTTTCGACTACCTAACCTACCTAACCTAACCTAACTTTTTCGGCTACCTAACCTAACCTATAAAGATAGGTTAGGTAGGGTTCGTTAGGTTCGGTCATATATCTACGTTAATTTTAACTAAAAAAAAAATTGACCTCATACATAATGAAATGGATAGCTTTATCATTTCATAAGAAAAAAAATTATAGAAAATATATTAATTCAGGAAAACTTGGCTTATTAGGCAAATCCGGCCTTGCATAGTAGGCTGAGAAGTGCGTTCTAGCTACTAGGTACGACATATATATATATATATATATATATATATATATATATATATATATATATATATATATGCTGCATGCATATATGAGAGAGAAAGCTGCATGAACGCGCAAGCCATATATCACTAAGAACTCTTTGACCCGGCCAGGATTCGAACCCATGGCGTTCAGGATCACCCCTAAACGTACACAGTACCGTGACCACCGCACCAATGATCGTCTATTGATAACCAATGATCGTCTAGACGATCATTGGTGCGGTGGTCACGGTACTGTGTACGTTTAGGGGTGATCCCGAACGCCATGGGTTCGAATCCTGGCCGGGTCAAAGAGTTCTTAGTGATATATATATATATATATATATATATATATATATATATATATATATATATATATATATATATATATATATTAGTATATTTTGGTAGCAGTCTTTACTGTATAAATATATTATTAAATATGACCGAAAAAGTAAGATTAATAATTCTAACACGAATTTTCTCAATCTTTCGTACATTTCTTTTCACTGTTGGAGGTAATTCAAAAATCAATTCTCCAAAATTCATTTTTATTTCTAGTCTGACGCGACACGAGCGCGTTTCGTAAAACTTATTACATTTTCAAAGACTTTAGTTTACAAATACACAACTGAATAGAACTTACGCATCTCCGATTTTGTTTATATCTACATTTGAGTGAGGTGGATGGGGTGAGGTGGCATTAATAGGGTATTAATTTCATCAACACAAGACAGAACAAGAGGTGGCATTAATAGGGTATTAATTTCATCAACACAAGACAGAACACGAAACAATGGGTATTGAAATGGAAGTGATTGTAGAAAGCCTATTGGTCCATATTTCTTGATGCTTCTATATTGGAGCGGAGTCTTGAGGTGGGTAGAATATAGTTGTGCATTAATTGGCTAGGTGTCCTGTTTGCAAACTTCTACATGGGTACCATCGAGCAAAAAGTCTTAGTCGACATGAACATGAAACCGGCCATATACTGCAGGTATGTTGACGACATTTTTACACAGGTACCTGATGTCAGACATCTGCAGGAGTTGAAGGAGGCATTTGAGCGGAGTTCCGTGCTGCGTTTCACTTACGAGATGGAAAAGGATGGGAAGCTGCCCTTTCTAGATGTAGCAGTCATGGAAAAGAGCGGAGGTTTCCACACTGCAGTCTACACTAAGGAAACGAACATAGGAATGTGCCTAAATGCCAAAAGCGACTGCCCAGATAGGTACAAGAGGAGTGTTGTTAACGCATATGTCGACCGTGCTTACATTACAGAGTTCTTCGTCGACTTGCTTCCATTCTGAGCTGTGGCTGAGAGCACGGTCGACATATGCGTTAACAACACTCCTCTTGTATCTATCTGGGCAGTCGCTTTTGGCATTTAGGCACATTCCTATGTTCGTTTCCTTAGTGTAGACTGCAGTGTGGAAACCTCCGCTCTTTTCCATGACTGTTACATCCTAGTCAATATTGCCTGCCTAGACCTGCAACAACAACAACCTGCCTAGTTGACTAGGACCTGCCTGTTGGACCTGCCTAGTTGACTAGGCAGGTCCTAGTCAACAACGGCTTCTCCAATGGTTTCGTCGAAGACATCATAAGAAGGAAAGTGAAACGCCATGCAACCTCTGAAGAGACAACCAACACAACACCTATACCCCCTATTAGACTATTTTACAGGAACTTCTTTTCCACAGCTCATAAAACGGAGGAAAGGGTCCTGAAAGATATTGTTAATAGAAACGTTATCCCAACAGACAAAAATCAGTGGATACAACTGACGATTTACTATAAAACCAGAAAAACGGCCAGCCTACTCATGAGAAACTCTCCAGACACAAAACAGAACGCTTTAAAAGAGACTAACGTCGTCTATGCCTTCAAATGCCCTCTTGGGGACTGTAAGCTCCAAAAAACCCAGTATATAGGCAAGACAACAACATCTCTTTCTAGGCATTTAACGATGCATAAGCAACAGGGCTCCATTAAGGAACATATAATCTCTTCCCACAACCAAACCATCGCCAGAGAAATCCTAGTAAACAACACAGAAATCATCGATAGATACAGCGATAGCAGGCGGCTTCACGTTTGCGAGGCATTACACATCAAGAAGTCAACACCAGCAATCAACAGCCAATTAATGCACAACTATATTCTACCCACCTCAAGACTCCGCTCCAATATAGAAGCATCAAGAAATATGGACCAATAGGCTTTCTACAATCACTTCTATTCAATACCCATTGTTTCATGTTCTGGCTTGTGTTGATGAAATTAATACCTTATTAAATACCACCTCACCCCATCCACCTCACTCAAATGTAGATATAAACAAAATCGGAGATGTGTAAGTTCTATTCAGTTGTGTATGTGTTAACTAAAGTCTTTGAAAATGTAATAAGTTATACGAAACGCGCTCAAGTGTCGCGTCAGACTAGAAATAAAAATGAATTTTGGAGAATTGATTTTTGAATTACCTCCAACAGTGAAAAGAAATGTACGAAAGATTGAGAAAATTCGTGTTAGAATTATTAATCTTACTTTTTCGGTCATATTTAATAATATATATCTACAGGAAAGACTGCTACCAAAATATACTAATATATATATATATATATATATATATATATATATATATATATATATATATATATATATATATATATATATATATATATATATATATATATATATATATATATATATATATATATATATATATATATATATATATATATATATATATATATATATATAATAGGCAAAATTATATAACAATTGCGCCTATGGAAAAAGTTAGAAGAAGACAATATTTACCTGTCCTTCAGTTACATAAGTAGTCTTGCCACTTCCCCAGCCTCCATTGTCAACTTTAAGTATAAAGTTTCCTCTTACAGGCTGTCCATACGTGTACCTGTAGAACAACTCAAAATACATTAAATGAATAAGAAAAAGGTATATATTTGTTAATGTTACCATTTATAAAAATTAAATCTACTATATTCTGCAAATTATATTGAGAGAAGTCAAACCATGCAACACTACACGCATGAGAGTCAAAACACCCATTTCACTTATGGTAAAAGGAGAAATGCTTGGAGTGACTGTGTACATGCGGCTCAGGCTTGGGTACAAATATTACTGGGAATATGGGATAGGTGTTCATGATAATGACACGAAGTGTAAACTATGTGGTTTGTTAAGGTCTCACACCCTTGCCCATTATGTTCTTGATTGTCCGTTGATTAATGTATATAGACACACTGAGATAAGGAATGTTCCTGAACAAATAGCCTGGATGTGTCACAACGGAAAGGTTGATGACATTCTTGAGAGATATAAGAATTTTGCACCAAGACTGTAATATTTTGTTGAATGTCTCTTGCAAATTGTCTATACAGTATACCTAGGTCATAAAAGTATGTGTGTACGTCTGGTACCATACTACTTGTGTAAAGGTGGAAATGTAGATGTTTATCTCTCAGAATGTTTGGTAATATGTTTATTGTTTGTGATGTGTTTATTTGTATATATTAACACGATGTACTGAACGGGGTGAGAATAGCTTGAGCTACCTCATCCCTTTGTGTGCATTTTACCTCAATAAACTTATTCCACGTGTATATTATTTGGTATCTCTCTCGTCTCCTTGAGTACATTTGGAGAGCTTTGAGACGATCTCAATAATTTAGGTGCTTTATCGCGTCTATGTATGCCGTATATGTTCTCTGTATTCCCTCTATTTCAGCAATCTCTCCTGCTCTGAAGGTGGAAGTGAGAATTGATCAGAACTCAAGACGGGACAGTACAAGTGACTTGAAGAGTGCAATCATTGTGATGGGATCCCTGGATTTGAAAGTTCTCGTAATCCATCCGATCATTTTTCTGGCTGACGCAATATTTGCTTGGTTATGCTCCCTAAACGTTAGGTCGTCAGACATCGTTATTACCAAATCCATTACATGCTGCTTTCCTACTATGGGCACATTTGATTGTGTTTTGTACCCTGTATTATGTTTAAGGTCCTCATTTTTACCGTACCTGAGTACCTGGAATTTATCACAGTTAAACATCATATTATTTTATGTTGCCCAGTCGAAAACTTTATTAATGTCTGCTTGAAGTTATTCAATGTCTTCAGCAGAGGTAATTTTCATGCTGATTTTTGTGTCATCTGCAAAGGATGATACGAAGCTGTGACTTGTATTTTTGTCTATATCTGATATGCAAATAAGGAAAAGCAGTGGTGCAAGGACTGTACCCTGAGGTACAGAGCTTTTAACTGTGCTTGGACTATTTTACATGTTGACTGGTACTCTTTGTGTTCTGTTTGACAGAAAACTGAGTATCCAGCGTCCTACTTTACCGGTTATTCCTATTGACCTCATTTTGTGTGCTATCACTCCATATTGACTAAACCACATACTAGAAAGTGAAGGGACGATGACGGTTCGGTCCGTCCTGAACCATTCTCAAGTCGATCACAATTGACTTGAGAATGGTCCAGGACGGACCGAAACATCGTCGTCCCTTCACTTTCTAGTGTGTGGTTTAGTCAATATGGAGTGATAGCACACAAAAAGAGGTCAATGGGAATAACCGGTAAAGTAGGACGCTGGATACTCAGTTTTCTGTCAAACAGAACACAATAAGGGTCCTCTGGTAGGTTAGTAGGGCAAGAAGTTCTCATAAAGTTTCAAAACGTCATGAAAACAATTAATTAAAAGTTTCCTATTCTAACCTAACCGAGTAAGCCAGAGGACTCAAACAGAAAATGGGACAGTACATCACTTTCGTGAGCCAATTTCATTTCAAATTATGTCCATTTTTGGCCATAGCGCGCATACGAGCGAAAAGTGATGTGATTTTAAGAGGCCAGGTTGGCCTCCCTCCTTCACTCATTCAAGACCAGACGCACTAACATTCCTCCCCCACCCATACTGTTTGTGGTGTTATTACACTATATACACACACACACATTATATATAAGTATCTACAAGTTTTATTTACCATAACTGTAGAACTAAGCTGGTATGGTACCCAAAGAGCATAGTGGCCACCCTACACAGCTAGACAAGTCATGCAGACGGCGCCACCTCCCTCACCAAAATGGCTCTTCCCAACATACTCCTTTTGCTGTTAATACACCAATGCACGTTATATATAAGCATCTACATTTGTGTTCACTATTATGAACCAGTAAGTTGGTATGGTGAGTGCAAAAAATAACAGGTGGCCACACAGGTGGTGTTGCCATACAGGTGGCCACACAGAGTCAGCAGACGACGCTACCTCCCTACCTCCCTCAACATTACTCTTCTCATCATACTACGCACAGCACTAATTATCACAATACTCCTGCTACTATCAGAATCTTGGTCATTTTTATCACGGAGTCTTCTGTAATACTATCATCTCTAAAATACCAGTTACTTATATATATTTGGACTTTTTAGGCGATGATGTGGTCACAAGCTGAGCAGCAGTGTTGTTAGCTCATGCTGCATGCACCAGCCTTGGTTTCTCACTCAGTACTGAGGTTCTCACACCTGGGAATGTTGCCCACGAATTAAAAAAAAAATGGCGTCTGTTTACATGAGCCCTGAGGACGCTGATGTGAACCCCGTGTAGCCACGGGATTTAAATCTTACGTAGTTCTCCCAACCAAACATAGCTGTGGTGCACAATTCTGTGACAGTTACTCACCCAGGCTATATATGTATTGTGCAGTTTAAGGGTTAAATAAATGTAATGCACACACCGCCAATGCAAAAACATGGTACCTGTCCCACTTGGTCATTCTTGTGTTTGAAGTATGTATAAATGCCCATTGGTTCTTCATTCCTAGTTTAAAGTAACGTACCTATACTGTACATAAGAAAGTAAGGATGGGTTTCGTGAGTTCGTACTCTATGGTACGGCTTACAGGGTTTTAAAATACAGCTAGAAAAGATCAGAGCAAATGGGGGGCCTTTGACAAGCCGCCAGCTTCCTGTCCTCGTCGAAGTCATTAATATTTGTAGCTGGCCCTCGGGTAAATTCAGGTAAATATTTCCAGATGATGCTCTATAAGTGTGCCATGCACATTGGTAGCAATTACCCTGAGTTAGAAGGACTACTTTTGCATAACATAATGATCTCAGGTGATCATCAACTCTCCACCATCCTGAACTTGACTATCTGTAAGATGCAACGACTGGAAATCCAAACAATTTACTTTTCAATCCAAACCCTGCAAGGTTGTGGACACTCTTGTACTCAATAACTACCTCTCCCATGAGGCTAATACTTACTAGGAAGCCTGCTCAAAGCCCTATAATAATAAACTGAAAATGTGTGTTAATATTGTGAGTAAAAGAAAGGGTCATTCAGAACAGAAGTCTGGGATGACAGAACAGATGACTGGCAAAAATTGACATTCAAAACTAATTACAGAGAAATACATCTCTGGAATTAGCATCTCAAATGAGCATTCAGGAAAACAGGTGTGAATTTCATGTTACCCAGATATTTGATTCACAAGAAGAAGGAAATAACATGACATTGCAAAAGAAATGCTTTTAGCAGTAATTTTATATTTTAAATGTTGAACATTTATGTAATTATTCCCTATTAAGGCCAATAATTTGCGGTAATAGGGAACATGAGTATAAAAATACAGGTAATCTCAAAATTATAAATTTTACACAAAAATACAAAGGATAGCTTTACACTTACTTTGCGCATACAGTTAAATTAAACTTGGGATCCGAACCCAGGAGGTAATTAGGGGGTTTAACTGTGACTTCAAAGCGAGGCAACACATACTCCTCCACCTTAAACGTTTTAATGACTGCGTTTTCCCCCTTTGGTGGATGCACGTGGATCTTATAGGTACCCTGAAGAAAGATCATATTTCATTAGTTGTTAAATTAATTTTTACATTGTTTTTACATAATTTTTCATAAACCTCTACTTTTGAACACCTTAGATGAGGAACGTTTTCAAAGGTTTCTTAAAATTTAAGCATATGATATATACTGAACGGCCGTGCTGTCATCGTGCATATTAACCAAGTTATAAAAGAAATAAAGATTCGCTAAACTTAATGAAACCTGTAAAAAAAATTTTTTTTTTTTTACAGGTAACTGAAGACTTTTTAAGTGAATTTTTCCATGGGTATACTGTCAAGAACTTTGTCTCCAGTAAGATAGATTTTGTGTAGACAGTTTATGTAGCAATTTGGCTAAAAATAGTTATACAAAATTATTGAAGAAGATACGTGTCCTGTCAGCTTGGAGGCCGCACAGCGCTCATATCACTCTGCCCATGAGACTAGTACCAGGAGTCACAGGTCTATTATGGATTACTTGTAGATTGTGTGTAAATTTTTAGTAAAAGGAAAAATGGACTCGTTTATATGACCTACAAATAGAGTACAGTTAAATGGAAATATTTAGAGATTAATCGGAAATGATGGAAGATCTGGTATCAAGGGGCGGGTGACATGGTAGGCTCGGTGGACAGTGGGAGAAAATGGCGGATGGCGCAAACATTAACTGACGGTCGTAATTTTTTATGGTTACACTGCCAGATATCCAGGTGGTGTTTTTTTTTTTGGGGGGGGGGAGAGAAAAAAAAAGAGTTTGGAGAGGCACAGGTGAAGGAAAGTTTAGAAATGGGAAATACAGTGAGAGTTATGAAAGCAGGCGGGCTGTCCGCTTTGCTGACACGATGTGTGGGGTGTTGGCAGCTAAACTAAGCTTGCTCTCTCTTGTCGGGGAGCTGTGAGTGATAGAGGGGGGGATTCTTCACATATATTTCAGAATATATGGATGTCTATATATGGAATACTATGTAGCATTCATATACTGTATACTGTAAATACTCCGATGCTTCCACACACACGTTATGTTGTTCTGTTTAACTCTTGGGCTGTTCTTGTGATTATAGTCTGTAACACGCCCAGGCACAAGAAATAAAAAAAAAACAGCGTTGAATGTAATGAAACGCCATTTTCTGGGTGAGACCTGGAGGCTCCATGGAGCTATCCGGGTTGATATGAATGTACAGTATTAGACCCTGGTATCAGCCAAGAGAATGGAGTTCTAGGCCTACCAGGCCTAGAACTGGCCTGGTAGGCCTCCAGGGTCTAGGCCTGGTAGGCCTTGTAGGCCTCCTCATGCCTCTCCGAGGGGAGCCTACCTGACAGTAGGGAAATATGTGACTAGAACCGCGCGCACCAGCTGTCCCAGGTGGCACTCTTGAGTGCCACCCGACAGGTGGCGCGCGTGTGTCTAGTCACACAGGGTTTTGGGGGATTTTCCCGGAAGTTTGGCGCGTTTCGGACGCTCTCACCTGACAGGTGGCGCGCGGGTGTCTAGTCACACAGGCTTTTGGGGGAATTTCCCGGAAGTTTTGGCGTGTTTGGGTATGTGGACAGGAAAGAGGGGAGGTCATGTTGGGCAGCTGACAGGTGGCGCGCGTCCCTCTAGTCCTCGCGGGTTATGGGAATTTCCCGGAAGTTATGGCGCGTGTCGGAGGTAATTGGAGCGCGTCGCTCCAGTCCTCGGGGGTTAAGGTAAGTGGTCAGGAAAGATGAGAGTAAGTGGTAGAGTAAGTGATAGAGTGAGAAAATAGAAGGAAGATGGAGGAAGGAGTAAAAGAGTTGATCGTGAGTTAGTGTGTAGATGAGAGAAGGCAGCACGGCCTGTTATGTTGTTTTGGGATGGGAGCTGGATGGAGTTTCCCCTTCGTCTGGAGAGAGTGCTCTGGGCCATTATGTGGTTAGACAAACCCATTGACTCCCCTACAGGAAGGTCTTAAGTGATGTTTGTAAGAAATGCATGGAAAAGACACGGGGCTGCACCTGGCTTTTTCTGTGTGTTCGGGTCAAGAAAGAGGGAAGTCACTCTCGTTGTGAGACTGCAGCGGGCCATTATGTGGTTAGACAAACCATTAACGTCCCCTACAGGAAGAGCTAAGTGTGTGTGTGAGGATGAGGGCAAAGTCTCCTGCAGGAGGGGAGTGTACCATTACCTAAAGCGTTTTTCAATGTCGCGGGGGTTTTCGTTGTCTTCAGAGTGTTGATGTTCGTCCCACGGCGGGTCCCCATACACTGTGGATTCCGGTAAGGAGGCGCGAGATACTTACGACAGACCTACACCTGTCAGCCATCAATCAATCACTCCCCACCCCTCATCCCCACCAGCCCCCATACCATCAACCATTGTTCCGTGCATTCTCTTTTAGTATGTGTAAGCTATATCACAACGTGATCAACATGGTGAGAGCAATAACGAGGGAAAAGTAAACACTTTATATAAATTTATTCCGCGACGGAGTAAGCGTGCTGGGCGCAGGTTGGAGCCCGACTGATCAACTTTCCAACTAGTCCGGGTATTTCTCCCCCGACACCGGAAGTGGTGGGGCACCCATTACCATTGCGTTTCGCCAGGGTCCGCGATGGCGGGTGCCACGCCTCGCTCTGTCTCTGTCTCTGTCTCTCTCTCTGTCTATCTCTGTCTCTCTGTCGGTCTGTCTCTGTATGTCTGTCTCTGTCTCTCTCTCTCTGTCCATCTCTGTCTCTCTGTCGGTCTGTCTCTGGCTCTTTCTCTATCTCTCTCTCTCTCTCTGTCTCTGTCTCTGTCTCTCTCTGTCTCTGTCTCTCTCTCTCTCTCTCTCTCACCCTCTCTAAAGTCCACCACACAGCACTTCACTTAGTAAACTCAGTCAAAGTCAGTAGGTTGGCGTTTACTAAAAGAGAGAAACATTTCACATCGTCACGGAGACGCGATCTATACCTACAAATTGTTCTTGTTAACTGTGATCACAACATCTGCAGGCCCAAATAAATACCATTGAAATGTATGCATGTTTATCAAGTCATAAGCTGGTCTTCAATCTTATTATTATAACAAATCATAATTTGCTGTTCTCTCTCTCTCTCTCTCTCTCTCGCTCTGCCTCTCTGTCTCTCTGTCTCTCTGTCTCTCTGTCTCTCAGTCTCTCAGTCTCTCAGTCTCTCAGTCTCTCTGTCTCTCTGTCTCTCTCTCTCTCTCTCTCTCTCTCTCTCTCTCTCTCTCTCTCTCTCTCTCTCTCTCTCCAGATCATTTAGTAGTTGGGAAAGTAACATCATTTCCTTTCTCCTGCTGCCGCTGTTCACATATCTTTCTCCATCAAGGCTGTCTCTCTTAAGACCTACGTCATCCAATGTAAACACCAATCGATGAGAATAAGACCGGTGAGTCGATAGTGAAATAGGTCGGGGTTAAGTCTGTTTTCAGTTCTTGTATCACAGTCAATGTAGCGTAATGGGAAACCAGTCTTTCTACTGCCTACATAAATAGCGTTTGAAAATGTATGCAAGTCTAGACAAACTCCTATAGCCCTTACATTCTAACACAAATAAAATATTAGCACACGATTGTATCGCATTATATCATCATTAAGTAACGTAGAGATCAACTTTCTGGCTGTTGTCCGAATATCATTATTGAAATGTGAACTCATTTAGCCAAACACAATATCTCCATTACATCTCTTAGCATATGAATATTACGGTATACCCGTTTTAACCCTCTATAACACAATGTAACGTAACGTAACGTACCGCAAATCAACTTTCTACAGACCAAATATCGTTTTTAAATGAAAGTATGACATAGTCCATCTTCATTACATCTCTCACCATATAAAATATTGGCGTCTACCCCTTTTAGCCCTCTGTAACACAATGTAGCGCAACGTAACGTAACGCAAATCAACTTTTGCAGACCAAAATGTCATTTTGAAACGGAAAGTGTGGGATTAGTCCTTATTCATTACATCTCTCACCATATAAAATATTGACCTCTACCCCTTTTAGCCCTCTGTAACACAATGTAACGCAACGTAACGTAACGCAAATCAACTTTTTGCAGTCCAAAATGTCATTTTGAAACGGAAAGTGTGGGTTAGACCATCTCCATTACATCTCTTACCATATAAATAATTGATGGCTACCCCTTTTAGCCCTCTGTAACACAATGTAACACAACGTAACGTATCGCAAATCGACTTTTTGCAATCCAAAATGTCATTTTTAAATGAAAGTATGACTTAGTCCATCTTCATTACATCTCTAACCATATAAAATATTGGCGTCTACCCCTTTTAGCCCTCTGTAACACAATGTAACGCAACGTAGCATAACGCAAATCAACTTTTTGCAGTCCAAATGTCATTTTGAAACGGAAAGTGAGGGTTAGACCATCTCCATTACATCTCTTACCATATAAATAATTGATGGCTACCCCTTTCAGCCCTCTGTAACACAATGTAACACAACGTAACGTATCGCAAATCGACTTTTTGCAATCCAAAATGTCATTTTTAAATGAAAGTATGACTTAGTCCATCTTCATTACATCTCTAACCATATAAAATATTGGCGTCTACCCCTTTTAGCCCTCTGTAACACAATGTAACGCAACGTAGCATAACGCAAATCAACTTTTTGCAGTCCAAATGTCATTTTGAAACGGAAAGTGAGGGTTAGCCCATCTCCATTACATCTCTACCATATAATTAATTGGTGACTACCCCTTTTAGCCCTCTGTAACACAATGTAACTCACCGTAACGTATCGCAAATCAACTTTTTGCAGTCCAAAATGTCATTTTTAAATGAAAGTATGACTTAGCACATCTCTTACCATATAATATTGACCTCTACCAGTTTTAGCCCTCTAACACAATGTAACGTAACGCAAATCAACTTTTACAGCCCAAAATGACATTTTTAAATAAAGTAGGACTTAGTCCATCTCCATTACATCTCCTTCCATAAGAATATTACAGTCTACAAGTTTTAGCCCTCTGTAACACAATGTAACGTAACGGGGAAAATCATCTTTGTC